CTCATACCGATTAAAAGAAAAAAAAAAAAAAAAAGGCTGAAGGCATGTTTCTCCCTGTAACCTTAGAGGGGACAATTTCTTGCTAATTTACCATATATAGACATAATATTTTGCTCCTAGCTTTAAGTTAGTTTCCTAGTAGATACCCTACTTTTCCTCTACTCTTGCATTTTCATGAAATAATGAAAATTGACATGAAAGATTTTCAAGTAAATGCTTTTAAGTCAAAAGTCATATCAGTGCTCAATTTATCTCTAAGTTTTGCATTGTTTTTTACATTTTGCTATTCAGCATTAGGAGATAATCACCTCATTTAATAGACTTTGTTTTGCTTTAACATTGCTTTTCTGTCTCTCCCTTCTCCCCTTTCCTTTCCTGTCCTTTCTCCTCTCTTTCCTCCCTTACCTTTTTTTTCTCTCTCTAAGAATGAGGCTCACACCCAGAACCTTTGTACATGTTGGACAAGCACTCGACCATTTAGCTACATCCCCAGCCATTGTTTTATCTTTTAACTTTATTTTTAGAGGGTGTTACTAATTTGCCCCTGCCTTGAACTTTCATTCCTTATGCCTCAGCCTTCTAAGCAGCTAGGATTACAGGTATGCAACACTGGACCAGCTGTTTCTTATATTTTTAAAAGTTACTTTCTATAGGAGAGTTGTTTAGAATACCTAGTCTGTGACACCACAGGAAACAGAGGCCCTGTTTGTCTGTATATTCTTAACTTCTATATCCTACCATCCAATGCTTTACAAATAGTATGTGAACATAAAGCCATGGCTGACCTGATTTGAAAAATGGCATTACAGTAAAGAATATTTAAGTCACAAGAGAAAATTAAACCATTATTAAACAATACCTTTAGTCAAGATTCTCTATTCAGCATTTTAAAATAGCTCCCAGATGAAATACAATTTTATGATATACAACTACTCTATATAGACATAGATTTTATTTGAAATGATCTTAGGTTGATTTAACTTTTAAAATTATGCAATATATGGTAACAATGCAAGTTTCACATATATGACATGTGATAAAAATATACAGTGAACATTTAAATTAAAAATTTTATTATATTAAAAGACACACTGCCACTAATGTCCCTCAAAATACTCCACCCTCACTTTGAACACACTTATCCCATCCTTGTTGGAAGTCTTCTGTGAATGCCTTTGTAAGTGTGATGAAAAATACAGCAAATGCTGCTAATGAGTGTCACTCAATGAAAAGGCAGGTTCATAAAAACATCACAGTGTGTTCTCATCTACCTTATTTACCAGGTCAGGTACCGGGCAACTTCTGACTCTTTCCCAAAGTGAAAATGACCATAAAAGGTAAACATTTTGAATTCATTCAGGACACTAAGGCGGTCATAATAATTCCAGTGGTCATACTCACCAGGGAGGACTTTCAGAACTGCTTCAGAAAGTGTCAAGAACAGGATAATACCATGTTTCAAGTGAGGGGCAATATTCTGGGAATGATTAATGACAATGTGTCTTTTATTGTAATAAATCTTTTTAATTTAAACATTTACCACAATTATCATTCACATCTCACATACAATAACTATACTGAGACAATTAATTTCAATTATGTCAACATTTCATTTAGGCAAGGAAAAGGGTAAATTATGGAACATATTCCTAAAAAAGACAATGTACTTTAGCATAATCCCATGGCAGACTGCTTCATGTAAAGGAAATGAAAAAGTTTCATTCATTTATTTTAGTACATAAAACTTAAGAAAAAAAAATCTTATCTTATTTCCAGTTCTGCCAATTATTTTTTGGTGTCATACCTCTAATTATGACTTTTTTAATGACCCTTTCAATGTAAGAAATGGAATAGCAATATTGTTCTATATGATAAGTGTTGTGAAAGCTAATGATAAAATTCTTTGAGGTGACCAGAAACAAAGTCACAAGTTCACAAATGATCACTATGAATTTGTTAAAATTCAGTTGACATTAGATTAAAATACATTTGTGGGTACAACCTCTTAAAGGTTCTAGCTTACAAAGCACTTGTTACACACTGTCCCTCTGCTCATACACAAGTTAGTAGAGTATTAACAGGAGACTGTGGAAGAGAGTCAACAACACAATGGTGAAAACATCTTCAGATTCCAGCTGTCACTCACCTTGGGAAATTTAGTAAACTTCTCTTTCAGTCAGTTTCATCTACAAAATGGGGTTAATAATCACTAACTCAGAGCAGTGTGGCAATAACAGGCATATTATGCTTATCTAACCTCAAGACTTTAGAAGATTTTTGTGTAAAGATACCACTTCAGCAGAGACTAAACCATATTTTTAAAGTACAGATTTATACAGTGTGATTAAGACAGTCCTTGGGATCTTGTTCTAAAATGGTTATTACTTTTATTATTACATAAAGAAGATGAACCTAATACAGAGTATTCAAGAAAACCTTATTGGGGAAGTGGATCCCTGAGATAAAACCTGAAGGAAGGAGAGACATTAGGGGAAGGACAAAGTGCGAGAGTGTGAAAAAAGACCTAGAGACAGAAGGAGCAGAAAGGAAGGCAAAAGCAATTCAATAAAGAAGTCTTACTAATTTTGTCACCAAAGGCTAACTGGATGTAAAAAAAGATGTCACTGATAGTGTGGCAATTAATATCAATTATCATCTTGACTGGTTTTAGAGCTCGTTAGGGGGTTAGGAAAGCACACTTCTGGGTGAACATGGGTGAGTAGTGGAGGTGTGACCTTAGGTACCATACATGGTCACCAGTCCCTTCCTCTCTGGTGCTGTTGCCCTGCTCTGCTTCCCCTCACCATAAACTAAGCAGCTTTGCTGTGGCATCCCCTTCTGCCAAGGATGCTCCAGCTCCAAACCTGCTGACCATCAAATGAACTCCTGAAACTATGTGCATAATCTTTCCTCCTTTAAACTGTTGGTGTTGGGTATTTGGCCCCATGACAGCCAAGCTAGTGGACTAATGGCAACAGTGAAAAGAATGTTACTCCAGGAGGGGGAAGCCATCAACAATAAAGATGACCGAGCCCCTCAACCAATCTTAATATGCTAATGTTTTCCTATTTAGATTCATAATTGTTTGCCTCTTTCTGATAAGGACAGGATAAAAGGAAGCTGTGCTAACAAAAAACAATGGTCAGCCTATCACTGCTAGCAACTGGACCAAAAGTAAAGGAGACTAATTTTTTTCTATCACCCTAAAATATGAGTTTTTTAATCATTCAAAGCTGTGAGGCTCTTTGCCCAAAATAATGGCTACTACTAATGAACAGAAATTTGGTGTATAAATTGCACACTTAGCATAGCCACCACTAAATGTTCCTTATAAAAGCTTTTATTAGCATTGCTTCTAAAATTCAAACGTCAAAAAAAAATTAAAAAAAAAAATAATAAAATTCAAACATCAGCGCAGTAGCTGACCTAACTTGGGTTTTAAGTATGAGAATGAAGACATCTGCACATCTTAGAAAACCATCATCATTAGTCCTATTTAGATGAAATTCTACTTTACTTGGAGCAGTGACTGAAGTTTACTTCTCATGACATAAGAATAGAAAGATTCGGGGCTGAGGATTTAGCTCAGCAGCATAAGCGCCTGCCTTGCAAGCAGGCAGTCATGAGTTCAATCCCTGGTACCGATTAAAAAAAAAAAAAAAAGGAAGATTCTTCCCCAGTTCAAATTCATAGAACAGATCCGTTTGTTTTGGGCTTCCTAATCAAATCTATTTCTTTATTCCACAAATGTGTAAAATATTTATACCTACTAATGAGAGTAATTTAAGGTTAAAATGCCCTTTCTCCAAAATGGAAGCCAAGTTTGAAGTTTCCATCTTTACAATATGAAAAGTTCTGTGCCCAGAAGTAATGAGTTTATATATTGTATTGTAATAGAAATTTTATAGCAAGAAATTTTAAAAATTAATTAGTAGCCTGTTACTGTATTGAGACAAGATGTGCACACCTTGCCTGTCACATAATTAGACTGCTAAACCTAGTCAGCCTTGACTGTCTGTGTCCAGCTGCTTTTCATAGATAACCTAGTTCAAGTCAGCTCCTGCAAGGACTGTATTTTCCCACCTAAGAACACAGCCTGTTTTTCTAATATGTTTCAAGGACTTTCTACCAAGGATAAAATAGCTCAGTCAAGGACACGCTTAAGTCTACCCACCCTGCTCAGCACTCTCTGTCCCAGAATTTCTCTACCTCATAATAAACAATTCCCTTTAGTTTATCCTACCTGACAATGTATGACTTAGTTCATGTAACCAATTATACAATAACCTGTACTGCCTGCTTACAAAATGTGTAGAAGTTTGTTTCACTCTCAGTTGGGGCTGATGATTTGGAACTGATTCCCACCAGCCTGCTGACTCCAAACTCCTTGATGTGAGGAGCCTTCTTTTCAGTTTAGTACTAGGTTTCTGCAACAATGTGTTTTTATATTATTATTACTATTATTATTATTATTATTATTATCATCGGTACCAGGGATCAAACTCATGACTGCCTGCTTGCAAGGCAGGCACTTATGCTGCTGAGCTAAATCCCCAGCCAACAATATGTCTTATAAGGGCCAATATATGAATATTGTCAAAGAACAGAATGAGTTGAAGTAAAAACAAATACTTCTTTTGACACAGTTCTATTATACTTCAGTTGTATTATAAAAATTGTAAGACATGTTAGGAAACAATCTGGCTATTTTGTGATTTCTTACATTAAACTACTGCAAGCTTCATCAGCTAGTTTTTACAGAACTCTAAAACATCAGTACAGTGTATTTTTCTTCAGTATACATCAATTGATATATTTTTATCAATGCTATATATAATTGAATTCTCATGTCTCATAAGTTTTAAACTCTTTTTGAACAGCAAATGTTCTCCAGGAAAAAAAATAGTTTTTAAACTCAATCTTCCATTTCTCTCTGTATAATTTCAAAGCTTTTTAAATAGGGATATTAAAAGATTAATTACTTAAACAAAGCATACTACCTGGCCATGCACACTGCAACAGTGCCACTGATTTGCCTCCAGGAGCAGCACACAGATCCAGAACTTTCTCTCCATCCCTTAATTCTAGAGCCAGTACTGGGAAAAGAGAAGCAGCATTCAGAAGATAGTATTTTTTCAGGTTCCCAACTTGATGTCTTTCTGAAGGCATTTGGTCTGGAGTTCTTTTGAGGTAACATTTCATTGATTTAGGATAGTCTGGTAAAGACCCTTGAAAAAGTCTGTGATAACCCTTCAAATATAAATCCTTTTCCAGTTCACAAGGGTAATTGAATCGGTTGAGGAGGACAGCATACTGCCACAGTGACGGAGATGTCAGTATATCTCTAGAAACGGGGAAAAAAAAGAATATTAATATTAAATGCATCAATATGATTTTATATTATTAATGGGGTTGGGATGGTCCTAGGTTCATACTTTACTTACTCCTGACTCCCAGAGACAGGAGTATTTCTCACATTTCCTTTTACTTCATGAGGCCCTCATATAGTTTGACTCTGTTGTTACAAACCTGCCCATATTCTAAAATTTGGCATTATTCATTGTGGCTTTTAAAAATTAATTTAAATCGTTAATATTGTATTATAATTACTGTTCTTTTTTCTTTAAATTCTGTGTCACACAGGTATATTTCACTTGCCTCAGCCTTAATCTTCCCTATGGACTATCATCTTGTCAAAAAAACTCCTGCATTAACAAAATGTACATCCATCAAAACAGAGTTCTACATTTCTGTCTAGCACTATCCACACAAGAAACTGATGGTCAGACACAAGAATATTAATATTGGTGTGAAAAACTTTATCATCAAAATGTGCTTGAAGGAGTATTAAAGTTTTCCTCCAATGTGGATAAAAGGTATGAAAAGCTAACTACAGTGAACTCTATAGTAATGGAGTTAATGAGCTGACAAGTGGCTGAGATGATTCAGATCCAAGGATGATTTAAAAATCACTTACGAACTGATGAGGCAGGCTTTCCACCCAACAGCTTTACCTTCCTAAAATTGTATTTCGTCCAATTAGATCTCTTGACTATTACAAGCTCACATCAACTAACAGATGATAGAGCAGGAAATATTTACTAGCTGACCTTTTTGACTGAGTTATTTGAGAGCTTCATTAACCATAGTCAATTAAATAAATTTCAGGTGCTACTCACCCTGGAGCTGCCAATATGAGGAATGGCTGGATTGAAATCTAACACCTGTGACACCTGGATTGAAATCTAACACCTGCGACACAAGGATACCATGTGAATTTCAATTTAGGGTAATATGTGGAACTATTTTCTCTTCTCAATGCCTTTTGCCATGGATGAGATGGTGCATCATAGGATCCTGGCATAATTGTTTCAGCTATTTCAGTAGTTAACTACTTTAGGAAAGTGGTTTCCAAACTTTAATGTGTATGGGAGTAAAACTGATGCTGCTGATCTCTAGGACCACACTTGGGTAACTCCTGCTTTACCACAGACTCTAAAGAGAAATCTAAATGCTGCTGTTGTAAATCTTTTGAAAGCACATCTTTATTGTACCCTACAAGCTGGATACAAACTTACACTACACTGTGAGTCACATTTAAAGAGATGTGGTCAGAAACATAATTTAATTTATGCAGACTGGAGTGAGTTTCATGTGCCGACCTCTTTGTTAACTAAGGGTAGGATACTTTCATCTAGATAATATCAGACAGGGAAATTTAGTTACTATTATTTTTTTCTTTCCAGACATTCAAACCTATTCCTGGTATTTATTCTTTAAACTGATTTTCAGAAACAACCAGTCAATTAAAAATAATTTATAACTGTAGATACATAAATATAATAAACTTGATTAGGGTGTTAAATGCACAACACCTCGAGAGAATTAACATCTTTATTGTAATTTAGTCTTTCTAACTTGAGAATAGTATTTCTTCATTTAGTCGTAATTTTCTTTCAGCTCTCAAAGTAAAGGTAATACTGTATATTTCCTTTGAGGCAGGTTATTTAAGAGGATCATCACCTTAGGAACAGTATAAAATTTTTCTATCACCTAATATAGAATATAGTAACTGGAAAAAATGAGACAGAAAGTTCTAAGCCAAAGGCAAGGGCACATATGGCAGTTGCCAATCTAGACAATGACTGCTGTAAACAGCTTGTGCCTATAAAAATCCCTAAGAAAGCACCCTGTATTATCCTAACCTCCATTGTGCTTAGTCAATGTTATCCTTTTGTTAACACTCACTCATAAGCTAACTATATACTATGCAACATCTATACACTAGATGCTTCTATTTCCTGGTGATATAAAAGTTACATCAAAGCCATGTATAGTAGCACATACTTGAAATCCCAGCACTCAGGAGTGTGAGCTGAGAGAACTACCCCAAGTTTGAGGTCAGTCTGAGCTACATAGTAAATCCAAGACCTCCCTGAACTACATATGGAGACCTCGTCTCAAAAAAACAATCACATCAACTACATGTTCGAAAATCATTACATACTAGGTACATTAATTTACTGATGATATAAAATTAGTTTATGCTTAAATTTCTGAGAAGCAAAGAAAATATTAAGTAAAAATGACTAAGAGACAACCATTAAGTAAAACTGAACAGATGGCACACAAAGGTGACTAAGCCTTGAGAAAGTCACTGAAGCTACTAATGCATCACAGCACAAGTCACACTGCTTACTTATTCCCAACTGCCTTCTATGGGGATCATAAGTTAATTTTTTCTGTGTCCTTGACTAGCTCCTTGGGGACTAAGTCCATGTATAAATTAATCTAGTTTTATTTATGAATCACTTGACTTACTATTACTTGTTTATGGGGGATGGTGGTGCTGGAAATTGAACACATGGTGTGACACATTCTAACCTGTGGTTTACCACTGAGCTTTACTGTAAGCCTATTGTACTATTTTTAAAATTTTCAATTTAATTTTAATTAAATTTTAGTTAAGTTAAATTTTTGAAAAATTGCTAATTTGGATACTTGGGTAGTATAATTTTTTAATCTTTTTAAAATTTTTATTTTAAAGAGAATAAAAATCAAACAAAACAGAATAAAACCAATCAAAAATGAAAGCATAGTTTAAAAGAATAAAACCAAAATAAAAACAGAATAAAGCCAATCAAAACAAAACAGTAAAAATGGTATAGAACTTCAAAACAAGAAAATGAGAAATCAACAATGGCTATCATAATGCCTCTTGTTATCTTCAAAATTGTCGCCCACACCATTAGACACAACAAAATCAAACAAAACAGAATGAAACCAATCAAAACAGAACATTGAATAAAACAAGAAATCAGAACAAAATAAAACAGTGAGAATAATACTGGATTTCAAAAACTTGACAGAAGGAAATCCCCTATATTTACTAGATTGCACTCTGTTATCTTCTCAACAGATGCCCAGACCACCAGCCTCAGGCCTGCAAAGTCAAGCAAACAACAAAGGCATTAAGTTTGGTACTGCAGATGCTATCAACTCAGCCTGTCCTCTGAATCAGCCAGTTGCTTACTGTGGGTGGGAGTGGGGAGTGTCTCCCAGCCATGTGCCAGTTAGCCCACAGGATGGGCCACTGGTTTCTCATTCTTATTACTCCTCCCAGGCCCAGCATGGCTTCTGCTGACTCACAGGGAGAATTCAGCTTGTCCTCCTCCTGGGACTGGCATGGCTTACACCATGCAGCAAGGAAGGTGATTTTTATTTAACTTTTCGGTGACATTCTTTTCTCATTCTACTCTCTATTTGACCTTTCCTATATAATGAAGACAAAAACTAGTTTATCTAGAAATTGCTAAATACAAATGATATAAACATGTAGATTATGAAAGAATTGAAATTTTCATATTTAGAAAAGTAAAATTCCATGTTTTAATAATGTTCAATCAATCATTTTAAACCTTTACAGAATAAATCAATTCCTAAAAAGGTATCAAAGTATGCCTTCCATACTTTGCCATTTAATTTCTATTCTTTAGAGATTCTAATGAGCTGTTAACACCCTACTTTTTCCTGATTGTGTTACTTGATAAGTTTTCTTCTTGTCTCATTTGGAGCAATTTATGCACAGATCCATTATGAGTGCTATCTCAGATTGGGAGTCCTTAGAATTTGTTGTCTGGTGAAAACAAAAGGCTAATAATCACGAATAAAGGGACTGCTTCAAATTAGGAAACGATGCATACTGCAGGCTCAGATCCTTCACAGCAGTACAAATGGCAGAAAAAAAGGCATGTAGATTTAAGTCACAGGTTTGGTTTGTCCTAATTGTGAGACACTTGCCAATGCTTTTGACTTGTAAAGGGGCTAAAAATTACAAGAATCTGCACAAATTAATTTGAAAATGTATATACAGCCAACATATTTAATAAAAGAAATCTAAACACTAAATTTCTCTTTCCCCTAACCACCCCACTTTACTTCCTTTCCCAAATTCAGGTAATAATACTACAGTGTTTACTAATAGTTATGTAATTTTTCTTTCTGCATGTGAACTCTAGGTAGGTGAGATCACAGTTACACATTTTGTCCTTTGTTTCTTTTTCGATGAAGTACACATAAAATTTCCAAAGTACATACAGATTGCCAACTAATCCTCCTTCATGTATATTTGAGGACAGAACACATGTAATCTACCTTTGTATCCTCAGTGCACAGCACAATACCTAGGGCATAAACTTTGCTTAAATTGTGAATAAATGAATGACTTGCCCAAGTATTACAGTACTGGTTCTTCTTTGTCAGGGAAGAAATGACAGAATTAGTAAATTATAACAATAAAATCTTGAAATTATAATAGCTATATTAACAAAATGTAATGGAAACACAAGTGGGAAAGCCTGATTGTAACAAAAAAATCTTTATATTGAGAGTTTATGTAAATATTCATTATATCTTCTCAAATAATACATTTTCCCCCATATTACATAAGAGGTCAGTGAGGCAGATGTGTTCAATAATTTTTCTACCTCCTGCACTCTAAGATGCTCAAGTAGGATTTGAATCTATACTCATAATCACTGTACAAAGGAGAAAGAATAGCAGCATTTCTGGCATAGGCAACAATATCATTGTACCAAAATCATGAAGGTGTTTCTTTAGTCATGATATGATCTTCGACCCAAATGCAATAGCCATAGACAGTGAGGGAGCAAAGATGATCTGAATACAGGAAGCCACACAACGGAATATGGAAGCTTTGAGAAGCAGTTTGACAGAGTAAGACACACTCATGAGCATTTACCAAATGGGAACTGTGTATCTGCAAGTTAGTTCACCCCTGTGTGCTTCAACTTGCCTGTCTATAAGTGGACATGACTCTATCTTAGGAAGAGAATACCTGTTACTTCCACAATGAGAATACTATCAGCACAAAGTGCCATTAAAATGTTGATTAAAATAAGCAAACTAATGTACACACCAGAAGTGGGAGACATGGCTATTGAAATATGTCAGACAGGAGATGAAGAAGCCCTGAATAAATAGTAGTAGAGTTAAAAAAGGTATACAAAATAAGAAATTTTTCAGGTAGAAGTGATAGTCTTTGAAAGCTATTTCAGATTTTGACAAAGAAAGGGTAGTAGAATATGGTGAATAGTACCATGTGTAGTTAGGGAGACACCAAGAAAACTCTTACATCTGACACCAAATACAATTTTAAGGCTCACAAGACTACTGTCAAATCTGATTACTCAATAGGATACATAGAACTCATGGAAAGGTGTTAAAACTTACTATGATGGTATGATTTATTTCAACAAAAGCACACAGATTAAAATCAATCTTAGATAAAAAACCTGTGTGACTGCCCACACAGCATACTATTAGTTCCAACTTCTCTGGAGGTTGAGCTGGTATCTGCAGATAGGCCCCACCCAGTCAGTGTAAACTATTAGGTATGGCCTAACACTCTAGGTAAAACAAGACACTCTTATCTCATACCTGTCAAGGACCCAGTGATCACCTGCCTGGAGCTGATGACAAATGCTAGACTTACTTTTGGGTAAGGTTCGATCTTTATTACAAAGGTAATGAAGGTATGGAGGAAAAAACTGAAACAGCTAGGTCGAAAGCTATGTCTTCAGCTGAGACAAAATATGCAAGTAGCAAAGACAACATAAATTTGTAAGAGAAAAATATTAATATGCTTTTGAGCCTGCTGAATATGAAATTGAGTGCAGCTGCCAACTTGTAAGCATGGGACTAAATCTGGGCAAACACTGAAGTTCAGATGATAATACAATGATGGAAGTTTAAAGTCATGCCATGAAAGGACTCACTTGAAAGGGAATAGACAAGCAGAGCACTGACTGAATAAAGTCTAAGGGATTCTCAGAAGGTGGCTCAGCAAGAAAGGCTATTATAAACAGGAAAATGAAAGAAAAATTTTAAATCTTTTCCCATTACTATAAAAAACTAAAATTAATGAGTACATTATAGATGAGGGGAGGGGTAACCCAATTTCCCCTGAAACTAAACAGACTCCAAGCACATTATGTCAAGGAAATAAATAGGTATAAAACAAAAGTATATAATTCTGTCTTCATTCCCTGCTGCTATTTTCCATGTTCAGACTATTTTCTGAAAAAGCTTTTATTTTGCTTATGGCAAATTTAGCACCTGATTATGCAAAACTTAAATTACCATGAAACCAAATAAAAAGATAGATGAAGCAGAAAGCACTGCTAATTAAATGGAGTCAAGGTTCACCGCTCATTTTGTTTAGAGTTGAATAATAACTCTGTATGTCTGTCTTGACACACCAACTAGAAAAATAATTCATTACAGGATATGGATAGCCAGATCACTATAAAATCTGCAGATGAAATCTCTTGAATCATCCACATTAGCCTAATTACATCTCAGGTATGAGATACATAACAAGGGTCAGCTGGAAGGTGTTGAACCAGCGACCCCAGGCCCAAGTTCCAGCTTTGCAGCTTACTACCTCAATGAACTCAAGCAAGTTAAACTGCATGCAGTATCCTCAGGTGAAAACTGAAAAACAAATCTCATAGGTTTGGTCTGGAAATCCCACAAGTCACTATTGTCTGCCAAATGATAAGCATATAAGATAGTTGGATACTCTACCTAAATACCTTTACATACTTTAAAATCTCATTATTATAAACTTCACCAATCACGCTCTGTGATACAAAATACCCATTTTGATACTGTTCGGAAAAAAGGCTATACACATTTTCATGTTACACTATTTGAGTTTTCTAAATAACCTAACTCGCCCTATATCCACATCAGGACCAACCAACACTTCATTAGCTAAGATTTAATGTTGTTTTAACCAATATTTATTAACATGAGAGATGGAAAAAGACAACCATATGAGAAATTACTGCATGAAATAAGTTCTGGATAGTATCTGTAGCCATATAACTGTTTTTGGATCTCTGGAAGGATGTATTGGACTGCTGTTCCCAATTTCCCCAGCAGGGCATGCTTCCCTCAGCCTAGAATGTTTTCTCTTGCTCTGATAATTCCTGTAAGTCCTGTAAGACCTGGCTTTTCCTCCGAACTTCACTTGCATCCTCTCACTTTGACAGATATAGCAATGATACTCCTACTGCTACAATACTTAGTAAATTATATCATTTACACAGTTGACATCATAACCTTCTGTTTAAATCTCTATGAACACTAGACTATTTACAAACTAGACATGAGGAATGCCTTGTTCTAAGTATTCCAGGGGGTATTGTATATGCAGTTCTGTATCAGGCACTCAATGTCAAATCCTATTAACAGCAAAACTCACCAAATATACTCAACAAATTTCTCTCATTTGCTTTTATGTATTAAACTTTTATTTTTATAAAACATTTAAAGAATTTATGTACCTGCAAGTATTTATTCAAAATATAGCTAACCATAGACAGAACGTATTAGAAATATGATTACTATAGTATAACACATAAGTAAGTCTTGGCTTTAAAGACTTGTATTAGCTTCTGAATTTTAGGAACTACTAAAATATCCTCCAAATTGTGAAGATTTTTATGTTACAGTATAATTACTTTTGTCTAATTGGTGGGCAAGCTTGTTTCAAGGAAGAAAACAATTGCTCACAACAAGGTATAACTTTTGCTTAATATCTATAGAAAATTTATTTCTCTCCTTTTCCTTACCAGTGACTCAATTCCTTTTACTTCTTTTCCACAGGCCCAGCAGGAGTGGGCAGTCACATTTCAACTCCTGTTTTATCCTCACCGCAGACTGACCCCCCACAAAGATGTATTACTTTCTTCCACATTACGTTCTTGGTAGCTTAAGTACCAAGAGGTCAGTAATACTAACCTTACTGTATTCCACGACTCTCCAAGTTCTCTGGAATACTCTTTGTCAAAATGATCCAACACAATTCTGCAAATCTGTTTTGCAAGCTTTCCTCCCGATTTTGCTTTCAGCTACGACGGTAAGAAATATTTGCTGACACACACTGATACCACAAATTTATTGAATTTCAACATTAGTACACTCTATTAAGATCTTTTAATTTGTTTTTACAATGGGATCAATACCCTACTTGTAACAAAACTATTACTAACGAAGTTGTTTTCCAGTACTGACCACGAAGCAAAAGTGAAAATAGAATCTAGTAATACTAAAGAACCCATTTTTAAAAACCCAGGGTAGATGTAACTATTAAGGGCGAACTTCATGGGAACTCTTAACTATCTTGGCAAATTTTCTGTAAACCTAAACGTATTCCAATTTCTTAAAAGTTTATTTAGAAAAAAAAAGTCGCCCTCGTTTCTTCCTGTAACTCCTCGCTATTGTTTTATTTATTCATTTAACAAAAGTGTCCCGAGGGCCCAGAAATTCGTAACCGTGGGGTACAACCCGACACAAAATGGTCTGAGAGAACAGGGAGCTCAGAGGAAGGAAGCGCGCTGAGGAAGTGCTCAGAAGTGGAAGTGAGAAGCTGCAAGTTTGCGAGTTAGCTGGAGGGAACCAATTTTTTGGTAACACAGAGATGGCCTTGGGAGAAAATTACAGAGAACGCTCAAGAGCAACGAGTCAGGGAGTTCAACATTACTGCTGAGCTCAGGACCGCGAAGCCAAAAAAAAAAAAAAAATTGTCCCTCCCTCAGCCCTCCCCCGCCTTCTCGACCGCGCCGCAAACTCGTACGATCCGAGGCGCCCAGTCCGGATCTAGGGCCTCACCCGAGTCAGCATTATCCTGCGGCGAACTTCTACACAACAGTTCCACACAATTTGGCATTAAAAGCCTTCAGCAAATACAAATCACAAGTAGACTTCCGGTACTAGCCGCCATTCGCGTTCATCCTCGCTTCCCGGTTGAATTTCTCGCGAGATTCTTCTCCTAGGATCTCAAAATCTCGCCCCAAGGCCAATATCCCGCGAGAGGTACTCGCGGAGTTTCTCAGTGGCTGGCTGACTAGCAAGTGTTTGGCAAGGGCGGGCTGTGGGGGCGACAAAAAGACGCTCGGGGGCGTGGCCAGGGCCCGCTCGAGACTGCGCTGCAGGGCTTCAGAAACTGCGTAACTCAGCATGCTGCGCTGTGTCTGTGTGCCAGCGTTCCGTGAGAGAAGGGTCTGTTTCTGTTAGGCTGTTTTGTCATCGTTTTAGGCTGAGAGGCAAAGCTAATCTACCAAATCTGTCCACCCGCCCCGGCAACTTGAAATGCGGTGGAAAAAAATGTTTGTTTCCTAGGATGAGGCAGGGGGATAATTTCTTAGAGAATTAAGTGGAAATACACAGATAAGGTGCACAATACTGGTCAACAGTAAAGGCCCTTTTGTTCTCTGCTGTTGTGTACTCCTTTCACTGTCAAGATCATTTTGTCATCGGGCTTGGATACCAGATTCCTGGGGACCAAAATGACTCTCCCCGCCAGCCAGCCTACGCACTCACTTCTACAACAGCTACTTTTAATAGAAAAATGTTAATTGCACCCATTCTGGTAAGAAAATTAGCGCATTTGCTTTTAGTGTTATTCAATTGCTCCCTTGTAGGAGCCAGCAGTGATTTATAAGAGAACTTGAGCATAGTTCCTGATACAGGTAGCAACCTTTTGAATAGGGCTTTAATCCTTAAACTGGATCCATAGGTATAAACAAAGTTGCAAGTGTATTATCCACATGAAAAGCTAAGCGAGCTTATCTCTAATGAAATTTAAAGCCTAATATATTCTAACAAGGTTCCTAGTAATCTAAAAATGAACCTTACTAGAATATAAATTTGTTGCAAAATATGGTATTCAGGAGTAAAAAACGGTAAAATGGATGTTACTGACTGATGTTTAGGCAAAGTCACTAATCTAACTTTCAGCCTTTATACTCGCATAGATTTTATTTATTTTTTTAACATTTATTACAAAATGTAACAACCAATGAATTACTGCACTTTACTTACAATGTAGACATAAGAGGCAAGAGAGTAGTAAACACATGCTATAATTCTATTAGGGAAATACTGTGTTATACATAGGAAGAGATAATTCTGTATTTTGCGCCTCAGCATATTTCTGATTTTATGATTTTAAATGAACATTTTCACAAGTTTTTATCTGCATTTTTGATAACCTTAAAATAGGTATGGGTGTAGTTTGAGTAGGTTTTCAAATCTTATTACCTATGTTTCTTTGGTAAATTCCTTCTTCATATTCACTTGTTAAAGAATCATCAGTGTCACATTGGAAGTACTTTCGCAGTTTCTCTTAATTCATATCAAATGCAAAGCCACTTTGAATTGCTAAATAATATTGGTTTATTAATTTCATTGCTCTCAACTGTATAACTTTCTTCTTACAATGGAAGCCAACTGTTTCATCCTCCCAATATTTTAGTTTGACCTTTTGTGTTTAAGCCCTTTATCAAGTACCAAATCTATGTATCATGAGAATTTAAATGCGTTTGCCACCCATCTCAAATAGCTACTAAAGAATAAACAAAGATCTATATTTTTAGGGATAAAATGTTAGAGCATACTTGTTTTAAGGCACTACAGGCATACAATTAAAGACAGCTGACATACATTAATTTTTTATGTTAAAGAATCAATTAGCATTACTGATGAAGACATCTCTAGGCAGAAAGTTTTATTTAAGCATCTTTGTGGTGAAATCAGTTCATCCAAGTGGTGTTTCTAAATAAATGCACTTTATGGACCATCTCCTATACTGTTTCATATTTACATACAACATACCTCAAACCCCTGCACATTTAGACACGGGCTTATTTTTCTCCCCAAAATGTTAAGGGCAGGCTCTGTAGTAAAAAAAAAAAAAAAAAAAAAAATCTAAAATTAAAAAATCCGTTGCTCATTAAAACACATGGTAGAAAAACATGAGAAATCCGTGACCACTAATAGGAACTGAGTATAGTTTTAGGCAATCCTGGACTTTGATTTCAGGTGAGGCTTTTACTAGTTTAGGGATCCAAGTGGTAAGTGCAAACTCCAGTAGACAATCCACTGTGATGGAGGTCTAAGTATACTACTATCATTTTAATTACTTTTAATTGCCCTATTTAGGGCAATGTAGTGTAGAACAAGTATACAATTATTAAAGTATGGAATTTTTTGCTTCCATAAAGTATGGAATTTGTAGTGAAAGCCTGAATCTCCAATATCTCAGAGATACTGTATTTGGAGATGCACTCTTTAAAGAGGTAGTCGGGCTAAAATGGGACTGTGAAGTCCTAATCCAGTAGGACTGGTGTCTTTATAAAATACAGAAAACTGGGCACACTAAGAAACACCAGCGGCAAGAGCACAGAGAAAAAGCCACATGAGAACACAGTAACTTGGCAGCTATCCCTAAGTCCAAAGTGAGAAGCTTCAGGAAAAACTAAACCTGGTGGCACCTTGATCTTGGATCTTTACCCTCTGCAAGAAAGGAAATAAATTTATGTTGTTTAAACCGCCCAATCTGTAGAATTGGTTATGGCAGCTCTAGAAAACTAATATAACTGAAGTATAAATGTATATTAAAATTTCTTATTGATACATTATTATAAAAATTGGGAGTGGACTGATTCACCTGGGTCAAAATTTCTGCTTCAATGGTATGTAAAAGGAATTTATAATTCATGCTCTAAACAACCAAATGATTCTTTCGTCTCTATTTTCTCTTTAATTAAAAGTTGATTCTCCAGAGAAAATTCATTTCTGATTCCTATTTTTGTCTAAAACAAACCTAAATTCTATGATCTGGTTCCCCAATGCTAAAAAATTATTGTTTTGATAACCTATGCTACACATCAATGTAAGTTCTGAAATATGTGAATTTGTTCGAAGGATCAGCTATAACATGTTTCTTGAATAACACTAATTAGTATTAGCAGAACCTCAGCCACAAAATATATTCCGCTTATAGAAGTAGGTATTTCAGCCAAAGACGATCAAATTTATAACCTACAACTTTTTTTATAAGCAATTTCACTTTTCAAAAGCTTTGGCCACCTGAAAGCATAGATTTCTTTGGTTGGAAAAGGAGAAATTAAGTATTATGAGTAGCATGGTATATCAAACATATCACATCAAAATATAATAGTAACAGTGAAAAGTTGCAAATACGTCTTTTATGGGTGAAGTTTTGCTAAGCATTGACAGGGAATTTTACATATTAAGTAAACTAGAGATTTTTACTTATCATATAAAAGAGTCAGACTTTGGATTAATGACATTGTGCTTAAATAATCTATATAAAACTAGAAATTTCATTTCCATTATAAAAAATATACATTACAAACGTATTTCAAAAGTTGAGGGAAAACACAGAACCAGTAAACTCTAAAAAAGATCACTATAAGCATTTTGCAACATTTCTTTCTAATGTTTTTATGCAGTTTGATACTTATCAATTACAGCAATATATAGTATTCACATATTAATTTTCCAATAGAAGCTCATAGAATTGTCTTTTAAATACGTAAAAATACGTACATTGGCCAGAAGCTTTAAAAAAAGATAGACACTGAACCAATCATAATAAGGTGCAATGATACTATATTTAGCAACCTTTAAAGATCACATTTCTCACTTATATATATGTATATAATTGCATGAAATTTTTTTCATGAAAATAACAAGGTCATTATTTTAATCTGCTGATTCATCTTTTAACAATCATATGAAAAAATCTTATTAAAAGAAAATCATTTAAATGCAATGAATGAAAAAACAGTATACTGATATAAATTACTTTTATTATTTAAAATGTCATAATTCAAGATAATTAAGAATTAAAATGTAGCATATATAAATGTAGTATATATCAAAATAGGCAATTAATTGTTAAAATCCACCTGGATTTACAAAATATCTTGTAAAGCATTTTTAGAGTGCTTCATGAAAGCAAATTAATGTTTAAGAGAGCTATATAAAACATTGATTCTGTTTTACAATACAATTTTAAGACCATTTTATTTGTGTTTATTAAATGGAATCAGTAATTACTGTGTATTACAGTAAACACTGGTAGGAAACAAAAATGTTAACAACTTTATTTTCAAGCCAGATGAATACACACAAGCCTTTTTAAAATAAACATAAATGTTACAAAAGGAACAAAGGAGATGAGCAATAATTCCTCTAAATTCCAATTCAAAGTTTACACTGTGTCTTCTGCAGTATTTTCCCACATATTTCAGCCACTTCTCAAATTTGGATTGTCATCTGTCTTGCATCTGATGTAGAATGTTTTTTGCTCACTCAGTATGCCAGGTAGGTTCATGGACAAATTCCAAGAAATTGTACCATGCTGACTATAGCAGCCTGATTAATAAACGTCCAATCAGTTAAAAATGTGATGCTCTAAAGTAAAATCTTTAAAAAAGTAATCATATTAAATATGCTAGAGATGTACTTATTTATGTGATCCTCAGATAATACTATATGCTTGCTGTCTGTATACAGTACCAAATACAACAATCTTAAAGTGGTAGAGATATTTTCTTATATGATTTTCACCTGGATATAAAGGTATGCTGTCAATTAAATGAATGCTTCTTTACCAAAATAACAGAAAAATAGAGAATTCTATTTATGTCATTTTTAAGTGCAAGACAAATACATTTTAAATTGAGCAATTACTTTGGAATCATCTCTTTATAAATGTGTTTGAGCCAAATTTTTATCCTCATTGCTTTAGTACCAAAGCTATTTGTTGTAATAGTCTCTGTACCTGCAGGAGACTTTCAATATGTTTTGCCTTTACCTTCAAGGCATGAAACAATTAGAATAATCTTAAAGAGTAACTATGGCTTCTGATAAAACAAAGAAGTGACAGCACCTTGAGCTCTGAAAGTGTCTGACATTTAGGAGTTTAATGAACATATTTTTATTGATTTTAAAATTTTAGGTTAAAAAGTATATCTAGACTTTTTAATTTCTTGAGATTATCACCAAAGTAGACAGAAAACAAAAACAAATTTGAACTCTCCCCTTGGGTGATATTTCCAAATCATATAATTTGATAGAATAATGATTGGAGAATTTTTTTTCTTTAAAGGTCAAATTAGGATTCACAGTTCAAGAATAATGTTACTACAAAACATACCTCAAGTCATAAATATTTCTTGTTTAGTGCATGTCTATTAAGTACATCAACTCTATTTTCCAGACACAATTTAAACAAAGCATCTGTAGAAAAGTGCACAGTGTAATAGTAATTTTTAAAAAAGCTTTAGAAAAATACAGAAATAGTTAAAAATCTAGATTATAAATTTGCAGGAGTTCCCTGTTCATGCATATGCATTTTAAAAAATGTTTAACTTAGAAATACAGACTACCAAGCGAGGTTATATGCAAAGTTCATTGGCTCTCTTTCTGAAGAGGTTTTGTTTCAAGAATATGCTCATGAATGGGGGTGTATAAACCAAAAAGTCAACATTAAATCTTGCCAAATTGGTCCAAAGGCTTATCCCATGTATTAGTCATTTAGTTTCCTTTCTGCTTTAACCATGAAGAACATGGAGATGTGATTATCAGGATAGGGCCATGGCTAGTAATTTCTTCACTAAAAATCAATATGGCAATCTGGCCCCAGTCATCAGTGATCAAGGTTTCTCTCCTTTTGAGAAAAAGTTCTGGTCAGCTCGCTGATGATGTGCACAGAGCTATTCCATATGACTCGGTTATGAGATCAAATCATGAGTGTCACTGTTAGGTCTCTGTCTCACAGCCAGAGGAGGAAGAGGCTTCCCATAGAAATCTGCATAAACAAGGGAAACCAAGAACACAAAAGAGTTACACTAATCAAAAATTTTCACATCATCCATTATTTTTCAATCAATATCTTTTAAAAACTAAGCCATATGCTGACTGGTTCAGTGAAGCAATGGGAAAGGGAGATGTGAAGAATAAAAAAAAGAATCCAAGAAAACTTCAGTTAATTCAAAACACAGCAACTATGGCAAATTTTATATGACTGAATAAAAATGCACCAAATAGATACATATATTATTATTTTTGTTTCCAACTGCACACTCACTTTAGAACTGAAAAGAAGCAAAATATTTAAAATCTACACAATGTATTTCTACAGCCTTGATAAATCCGTATATGCACTTGCCATATACTCTTTTGTAGAGCTGTAACTCATAGGTATTTTACGAAAAGCAAGCTGCACTTTTACAATACATCAGTATAAATCAGTGAACTAGTGCCTATTTTATACAAAAATATCCTACCTTTCATAATAAATACCATAAATTGGCTTCTATCTTTAATGGTATGAGTACACCATCAATAGGTAATTACTTTCTGATCAGTTACCTTAAGACTATTCTGGAAGCATAGGTGTTCAGTATTATTTGAAATAAGTAGATTAAAAATGTATTAGGGAAGAATGATGTTTTTAAAACAACAGACCTCAGTGTAACAGTATGACATAATGAGTTACAGGTGTGTGTTTCAGAGCTGAACAAACCAAGTTCAAATCCTGATTCTGTCACTTCTTAGCTACATGACCTTGGAGTAGAGATTCCTCACGAACAGAAAGTGGACAGACACTGCTAATCACTTAACAGTTATTTATGAGAATAATTGAAAATTTTTAAGCACAATGGTAGCTACAAGATAAATTTAAAATATTTATTCTCTAATTTTTTCAGTTCAAAAATGAATGAGAACTTTAATATATGACAGAACTCATAATTAAGGCATAGTAATTATATTTTGTCACAGATTTTACTTCTGGAATTTAATACTTTTGTAAAACAATGTGCAAAAACTGGTATTTTGTTGTTTGTTTGTTTGTTTGTTTTTTCCTCTCCCAAGGAATCAGTTTGATTTCAGGAGATTTTGTATCATTTCTTTGCCAGAAAATGGAATTACATTATAAAAAAAAAAAGCCTTCTTATTGCCTCTAACATTGAAAACATTGTTGATAAGGATACCAAGCTAAAATGCCTAATTTAATTGCCAATACACTTTTTTATAGCTTCAAGCTTTTTAACCTGAAAATTGGACAAGTAGAACTACACACATCTGGGTATGGTGGCACACACCTGTAGTACTAGCCACTGGGAGGCTGAAACTGGAGGATCGCTGCAAGTTCAAGGCCAGCGCGGGCTACATAGTGAGTTCAAGACCAACCTGAACTATGTGAGACCATTTCTAAAAATAAAAATCCACAAAAATTTTATCTTCTTTCTTGATTTTAAAATTTGAAAATATTCTTTAGTTTGCATACTCATTATCTGTAACTAGAACTGTTTAATTTCTTATAATGTATAATGATAATACATAACATATTGATAAAGTAGATTGAAGAGTGTGCACACAGAAATACAGAATCATTTTAAAAGTCTCTCTGAAGCATCCATCTTGCTCTGTGCACATGACCCAAAACTACAGTCACACGATATTCTTCAAATAATGCTCTTTTCTACTTCTCTACATTAAACAGTCTTTTTTTTCTACTACTCATTCTTTGAAGACCCAGTTCTAATACTACTTTCCCTAACTGCTCCTGCAGTCTATGTAAAGTGATTCTACACCACAGAATTGTTGTCACCAACACAACAGTACGCTCAAGTATTATTCCATTAAAAGAGGATCTCCACAATAGCAGAATATATGTCTCATTCATCTTAGTATTACAAATGTGTTAGCTAATGTCAAATACAAAGTAGGTGCAACTGAAAAATCTGTAGTGTAAAAATTATTTCTACATGTATATGTAATTGTATATATAAACACACTAACATTACTCTGCTTCTAACACTATGAATATTTAAATTCATAACATATTCATGTATACATAAATTCACTCAGTTATACACTACGTCTGAACTAACGTCTTATAGTTATTAAAAACATCACGATATAAAAACCAGCAACCTTAAGGCCATAATCTTAAATGAAATAAATTGGACACACAAGTTTAGGTAACAAGATTGCTTCCCTTATGGGAGAAACCCAAAGGGTAAGTAAGGAGCAGAATAGACGAAAGATATTGGAAAGTAGGAAGACTATGTCGGAGGCAGAAGAGAGCAAAGGACGGGGGAGAAGGAAGGAAAAAGGAAAAACAAAAGAGGATAGCAAGAAAAAATGAAAATAAGTGTCTGTAAATGGAAAAGATAATAGAGTTCAAGGGGGGAGACAGAATAGGGAAAAAAGAATTAAGATGTATTATATACAGGTACAAATTCCATATATTGAATGTGGTCAATATGTATGATAAATATGTACTAAAAAAAAGTTTAATAAAAAATCAGTAACTCAAAGATGTGTAATTCTAATGGAAATATCAACAATATTCCTGTAGTCCAAGGATATGCATCTATCTTTAAAAATGTAAAAAATCTTCTAATTTTCACTAATTATAATGAAATACTCCATTATTGACCTATATTACTCTAAAAAAGAGCAAATAGTACACTTATATTTACATAATTTTCATAAAATACTGTATAGAGTTTGATAAATTTAAATTATGTGGTAATGCTTTTCTAAACTCTACATTGTTTTTCCCTACTAAGTGCTCTCCTCAGAGTATTTAGAAGAGGTTAACACAGAGCTATGGAAAAGGGAATTAGAAATTTTGATCAAACAAGTTTAGTAAGCTACAATGACATATAATTATTCTTTACCTTAAGGAAATATTGCAAAGACCTAGGCTGGTGGTCTATACATTTTTTCTTTTGTACAAGATGTCTCTATTATTCCCAAGTGTCCTGTTTCTAATTTTTGCTCTTTAGAATTCTAATGTCATCAACTGACTGGATTATAGCTAATTTTAATCTCATTTAAAGAAAATTATTTTCTTAATTTAATAAAGACATCAGTAACTTTCCATTTAAACTTTACTTGGCTTACTGATTTATCCTCTGATTTTACAAATTTTGTTGGTCTTTTCTTCATTTTAATATTCGGTGGCTGTCTTACTAGGAGAAAAAAATATGTGGCATTATGTATATGAGCGGGCCCTACAGATTTTTTTTGGAATACTATAAGTGTAATTTTAATGTCTCACATTTAAATTAATGTCCCCCTTTCCCCTTTTCAATGTATTTACGTGAGTATAGCATAGATAAGCACAAGTATGATTCTTTTACACTTGCATCCTAAAATAAAAATCAAATTATATAGATGCAAAGTATATTGAAAAAAGTTTTTTAAATGAAATAAAAAATACAATCAAAAAGGATAATAGTGGTTTTAAAAGGGTTCCAAAACTAAAACATTAATTTGTTTAAGTTATAAAGTAAATAAAAGTAGATGTAATATGTGCACATGATGTTTGAAAATGAATCCTTTTGCATTACCATTATGATGTGTTTCACCAAGAGGCTCAAGTTTTGGAAGTCTAGTGACTTTGGGGGTTCCCCAGCCAACTAAAAAGAAGAAAAACATGTAACACACTGTTAAACATATGTCTCTTTACAACTGTGGAGAGGATCCCTCCCTTGATAGGAAGTATATATAACATTCAGAGTTAATTCAAATTTACTACATGATACAAAGTTGAAGAGCCACAAGTCCATTTTAAGTGGTTTCTATTCCAAAACATATAAGAAGCTAATATCTACTTTTTTACTCACCTTTAACTAAAAATATAAGTAAATCCCTTCACGACCATCATAAATTAGCTTTAGATTACTATTCTAACCTATGGCAGAGGCTGAAAGAAATGGTTTTACTGAATGGAATACTAGAAATGGTCTTTAAGAGATTCCTAAAAGAAAATATTACTATCTAAAGCCTTGTAGTTGGCGAAAAGGACACTAAAAACATATTAATGTAGTCATCCGGTATTTATGTACTGAGTACCTATAGTAGGTGAAGTGTTATGCATAATGCTAAAAAGTTACAATCATCATGCAGTTACAATCCATTGCTTTATATGCACTACTCAAGTTAATCCATGTAACAGGAAGTGAGCACATATGTTAAGATTTATATTGGGAAAATTCATACATCTAGATGGCTCCCAGAATGAAAGGTCCAAAATTTTAAAAGCTAACAATAGCCATCCATCTAATAAATTTAAATTCCTTTTGGCAGACTAGCATATTGAACTCCTTCTAGGAATTACTGGGTAAGGTTTCCTTAACAGATTTTATGTTTTTATTTATAATATGAAAACTGATACTTATGTTAACAAATTTTGAACACTGTAAAAGTGTATGATTCTCATAAATTCAGAAGATAATGAATATGCTAGATAAAAATTATACAATGTATTTCCTCTTTCTTTTTTCTTTATTGTTTAAAGCAATATTTCTAAATTTAGTATATCAATTTACTCACCAGGAACGGGAGGAGGGGGTGGCGTTGCACTCTTAGGAATGGAGTCATCTGTATTAACTGGTTCTACTCGGTGACTCCTTTTCATTCTTAGTTTCTTAGTTTTCTTTTTACTATTATCTAAAATAATACAAACATTGACTTTAATACCACTGGGAAAAAGTGAATGTCTATAATAGAAAACATTATATATTTGGGAATAAGCAAACTTCTAAGATAGAAAACAAAATAAAATTTGAATACTGATATTATTACTATAGAAACATCTTTGTTGGAAATTGTTATCAAAAACCAAATATGAACTTAAATATATTTACTAAGAAAAAATTTTTAACTAATGGTTACCTTTATTTATATGTAATACATTATATATATAAAAATATATTTCCTAAAATGGGAGTCATACATAATAATGTAAGAGTCAATAAGTGTGAAGCCTACAAAGTAATAAGAAATGTAAATATATTTAGAAAGAAATTATTTTTCTAAACAAGTTAGTGTCATTTGAGACATCTCATTCTAAGTAGAAACAAAGTAAACTACCCAATTAAAGTTGTAGCTTATAGCTGGAGAAAAGGAGATCTCCACAACCACATGGTGTTTTAGGATCAGCAACCGCTCAGGGTCCAAGAGCACAGCTCACAGAACTTACAGTCTGGACCTGGTTCTCAGCCCTACCCCAAATGAAGAATTATGGTCTTAAATTACTCATGTCTCTCAATTCCTGATTTTGCATACATAAAGTAGAAATAATATGCCCCAGGACTGCTATGTTGAACACTATAATGCTGTATAATAAATGAACCTGAAGGCATGCTTTGAAGTATAAAATATAATGCTATCACTGTGGTATATGACTTATCTCAAATTTCCCTATGTTATATTTTAAAATCATTTGCTGAATCCCTTTATTTTTAACAATGTGTCAGGTTAGATTCCTTTTACAAATCAAAGCCTGCTATCTTAAGGCTACTTTAACTCTGCTGATAGAAAGCTATATGGGTATTAAAATGGCTGCCCTAATTTCTTGTCTAACAAAAAAATAACTTCAAAAACTATTTTCTCTCAGCAAAACTTCAACTCAGGGGTTGAGAATGTATTTTCATGAACCCAAGGATATTTGAAAAGCTTCTTACATACTATGGAGCCTTTTCAATAAGTAGGAATGGCAAGGAAGTAATTATTGGGGCCAATCTCTCTGGAAGGAATATTGTACTTACTTTACAAGTAATCTTGTAAAGTAACTAAGCCCTGTGAATAAAGATGATGGGACAGCATCCCATTTTAGAGATGAAGAAACTAAGTCTGAACAATGTTATATTACAGGGTTGCCCACACCTCAGTTGCACAGCAAGAGGCAAGTGGCAGGCTAGTGAACACAGCCTCATCTGCATCTGCAGCTGCTCCCATCCTTCGCTTTACCACCTGGGCTCTGCCACCCATCTGACAGTGGTGGCGTTAGTTTATCACTGAGCCTGAAGCCTACTGTGAACTGCACATGCCAGGGACCTATGTTGTGCACTCTTATGGAATCTCATGTCTGGTGACCTAAGGAAAGCTGAGGAGGTCATGCTAGCACTGCGGAGCCACTGCAAACACAAATAAACATTGAGAGAAAGGTCTGACTGCACAGAGACCATAATAAATCAATTTCCTACACATTCATATCAAAACCCTATTAACCTACTGAGACAGGTGACAATTAAGCTGCATGTGACAGCAGGATTTATTGGTAAGTTAATGCACTTCAATTTTACAATGAACCCAAAGGCAGACTTTAGGTTAGAATCTGACAGTTATTTTAGTTTGCACAAGGCCTGCCCATTATTTTATTTACCACTTCTATTTAGCGTTCTTTCCCACCCACAGATTTGTCTCAGTCACAGTTTTGCCAAGCCCACAAACTAAGCCTAGCCAAAAAATGGACAGTTTTTAGATCACTAGCGATGATGGCACATGCCTGGAATCCCAGCACTTTGGAGGCTGAGGCAGAAAGATTGTCAAAATCTGAGGTCAACCTATGCTACATAGTTTTTTCGAGGCCAGCCTGGGCTACATAATGAGTTCAAGGCTGGCCTGACCTACACAGCAATACCTTGTCTCAATAAAGGAAAAAAAAATAAGAAAGAGAGAAAAAAGAAAAGAAAGACCTAGTGATGATGAGACATGAGAAGACACTAAAGCTGCCAAAAATAAGAAAGCTATATTTAAAAGAAAATATCAAAGGTTTAAATTATGGGGGTTCCTTGTAAGCAGTGATTCAAATTATCCAACAAAGCCAAGAAACCTTCAAAACTTATTTGCCATATGGAGACCTTTTGCAAAGGAAAAAAATAAAAACCACAAAGATGAAGAATAAGAGCAATTATTCAAGGTTATGACTTTGTCAAGTCTCTGCACAGAAAGCAGAGTGTCTGTCTTAGTGGCTAACCACACTGCTAAAACTAAGAAGCTCTTTAGTACTGTTCAGAGCTGATCCTGCCCTATGCTAGGGACATTTGTTATAAACTTTTAGGAGTAGCTACTGTTCAAGGATGGTATGCATTCCTCCTTTAGCTTGTACCATAACTATACAATTTGATGAACCACCAGAGGATACTGAGGCACAATTATTAGAATTACTGAGTTTCTGTAGTAGACAATTCAGTTTGAGGCTACTGATATTGAAAATAAGGCAAAAATGCTTGCTTTTGTGCAATATACCTTTCAGGAGGATGAGCATGAAGACATGCGTACTCCTTTGTCAAACAACACCACAGCCACATATTCAAGTCTTTGGAAGTAAGTCACATACATTCCTGAAGCACCATGAAGCAATGGATGCAAAGCATATCACCTTATACACAGAAGTGAGATCACTTTCTAAAGGTGGACAACTGGCCAGTTTTTGAATGATGAAAGCCATTCCAGGGCTATCTTTTAGAAAAAGAGTAGTCACTGGAACACATTTCAGTGACACAGAGTGGGCCCCAAAATTTGCTTGTGTGACATACTGAACCTGCTCAAGGAACTCAAATCTATCCCTTCAAGGGAGAATGACAAATGTATTCAAGTTGGCAGATAAAGGGGCTGCATTTAAAGCCAAACTGGAACTATGAGGGTAGTGAGTGAATATAAGAGTTTCTGACACGTTTCATACACTAGGAGATTGTTGAAAGAGACTGATACAGGGCCTTCTTTTTTCCAGCTGGAATACAATCACTTATTTTGCCTTTCAAAACAGTGAATATTACTTCCTAACCACAAAATACCATTGAGCATATTCTCAACCCACTTGTGAATAATCCAGGTGAAGTGACTTTGTGCTAGAAGAGAAACAACTGCTTCAGACTGAAAATGACAGAAGCCTTAAAAGTGTTTGAGGTGTGGCTAGGTAGTAGAAACTCACCTAGCATGTGGTTCCATCACCAGTATGGGGAAAAAAAAAATGTACATGAGACAACCTCAAATCTCCATTCTTTCTGTATTAAAGTCCAATGGAATACCCTGAGATTGCCACAAAAACATGAAAAAATTGCTTCCATTTCCAATATACTATCTTTGTGAAGCAGGGTTTTCTGCAATGATAGCAGCCAAAAATGAGATTATCAAGTAGACCGGACAAAAGCAACACACTTCAAGTGTCACTGTCTCCCATCACTCCCAGACAGGGTAGTCTGGTTCCAGGAAAACAAGCTCTGGGCACCCAGTGCTTCTGCACTACTGTGAGTTGTATATTATTATGTTGCATGCTACAATGTAATAACAGAAAAAAGTTGCACAATAAATATAATGGGCTTCAATCACCACCCTCATCCCATGACCCCTACATCTCCCCGTCAATGTAAAAATGTCTTCCATAAAACTACTCCCTGACACTAAAAAGGTTGGGAAATGCTATTACAGCATTTAACATATATCTAGCAAATGGATTCTACCCCTGGTTTTCTGATTCTAAACAAAGATTGTCTCCCATGACACCAACACATATAAACGTTCTGCTAAGCCACATCAGCAGTTAACCTTACAATGAAAATTTTGTACAGAATTAAAATAAAGGAAACCAACTATTTGATAGGATTTGTGTCTGTGTGTGTCTGTGTGTATCTGTGTTTGTGCATGTGCTTGGGAATGAACTCAGAGCCTTGCACCAGCTAAATGTAAGTTCTACCATTGAGCTATACAATAGGCCCTGTCAAAATTGCGAAAATGTTTTTATGATATTTAAATACTAAAGAAACAAACAATAGAGAAAATGATGTGAACTTCAGCATTAAAAAGCTTAACAACAACAAAGGTTTAAAAGTTCAATAAATTCCAAGAAATCCTAGGAATTACACTGCATTCCAAATTTTTGAAAATTGAATTTCTGCTGAATTCTTTTAAGTTGTAAAACCATATAGTAAGCTAATATGCAAAAATGCACTTAGAAAAAATTGGTTAATGAGTAACTAAAGATCTTCGAGAAAAACCAAGATAAATACTGCATTTGAAGACCAAAAACTTACGGCTATTTTGTGAAAATAAACATGTAGGGCTGGGAATAAGCTATAGCCCAGTGCATGCCTGGCAAGTGCAAGGTTGTGAGTTTGATCTCTTGTACCAAAAACACAAAACAAAACACACACACAAAAAAAAACAATGACAAACATATGGTAAATGACACTAGGCCATATATATGAGAGTTACTTTAAAAATACATTGTCACCTGATTCTGAAGATCGCTGATCTGTCTCTTCTTCATCCAATTGCTGTGTTAAGGCTTCCTTGTAATTTTCTACTACTTCAAATTCATTGTTTTTTTGGCTATTGTCACTAGTCTGGCTTTGTGTTTCTAATTGTTCATGTTCCATTTTCTGTTGCAGGGGACAAATATCACTATCTTTTTCCACTGTTTGTTTCTTTGTCTCTTTTTCAAGTTTCTTTTCATTCTAATAAAAGTGAAATATAACATTTTTATTATACAATGGTTATATCTAACATCAATTTAACATCATTTACCTAATAGCAATGTAGGCATGGTGGTGCTGGTGCACGCCTGTAATCCCACCACTCAGGAAGCTGAAGCAAGAGGATCGCCATTATTCTGAGGCCAACCTCGGCTACAAAATGAGCTCAAGGCCAGCCTGGACTACTTAGTGAGACATGACCTCAAAAAAACCAAAACAAACAAACAAACCAAAAACAATGCTTGTAATGTTAGACATTCTGAGATTTTGATGGCACTGTGATATTTCTATTAAAATTATTTGTTGAATGTCTCATTAAAACATGTTATTAAATACATAACAAATAGAAAAAGTATAAATAAAGAAAACAAGCATATTCTCAACCCACAAGCATATCACCAGTGATTTTACAGCCTAGAAATGACCATTATTCACTGTGTAATCATTATGAGGTGTTTTTCTCTGCCTATCTATCCCCACAGACATATGCCACCCATAAACACATGTAAGTGTATGACTGACTCTACATACATCTTTATTTAAATGAAAAAGAATGCAAGTTTTTTTGTTTTGTTTTTTTGGTACTAGGGACAGAACTTATAACCTCACGCTTGCCAGGGCAGGCGCTTATGCCACTGAGTTAAATCCCCTGCAAGAATTTAAGTTTTGAAGAAATATTTTTTTCCACATCAATGAATATATCAAGTACTTAGAACAGTTCCTCATATATAGAAAATAAGTGTTAGTTGCTATTATTTTCAACAATTATATTAACATTTGAAATGGTTCTAACTTATTACACTAATTCCTTTACAATAAATAATGACTCCTGATTTTTAATTTTACTAGTATTGTAAGAAATAAATTCCTAAATTTTAAAAATTAAATTTCTAACAGTAAAAATGTTGAATCAGTGAGGTTAGTATATATTAAAAAGTGACATATAATCACACAGTTGTCTTCCTTAAAAAAAGTGGAAAAATTTATACCTCAGGTGAAAGGTTAGGAGAATTATTTCTTTAAATCATTTTCAATGCTACACATTATTAATCTTTCATTTCTCTAGTACACTAACAAATATTTAACTTAGTGTTGTTTTAATTAATCTAATTTAAAAATTTTATTACTAAAGAAGACAAATTATTACATACCTTTATTGCTACTTTCTCCACTTAGTAAACTGTACTTATTGGTATGCATTTCTCTATTTACTTTCATAGAAACCTACATGAATTCTCTTTTCTGCCTTTGTCTTCTCTATGATGAGGACTAATCACACAGTTATAGCAGATTATGCATCCTATGTGTTTTACTTTTCATTAGGACTTGCTTTGTTTCAATGTTTGCCTTTTAACTTTGTAAAACAGCACTTTTAAAATTAAATAAAATGTGCTCTATATATTTTTCACTTTATGACTTGTGATTTATCTTTGAAAGTTTTGATCCTGTCAGCTTTTATTAATACTTACATTATCTACTAGTATTTTTTTTTAATTTAAAGAAAAGGAAACAAAAGAATACATGGAGATAAAAAAAAAGGGGGGGTAGAACTAATACAAACTTACAGAAAAACAAATGGTAAGAAATTTCTGGTTGCTAAGTTACACATTGTCATCTTAGAAATAGCTGTTCATGTTATAGAATTAAAGTATTTAGAATCACATTCATAAAGTGACACTACAAACCGTTCTGCTCTATGATCAAACAAAAGTTCAGTAATATGGTTATCAGTCTTACACATTTGTTTTACATCTCAAAGAGGGTAAGATTAAACATATCAAAACAGAACATAGCAGTTAAAAAAACAATTTAAAGAAATACAGATTTCGCAGCAAGCCCACTGGAGATCTTCATTGTCTATCTAACTGTCTCTAGTTTCTTACAAATAGTTGTCCCCAATTTCACCCACTTTATATACTTATTGCATATTATAGAACTAATCAAATCATTGGAGGCTTTTTAGGTCCTCAAGTTCCAAATTAGGGAAGACAATAGTAACTACCATCGCATCTCTCATTGTCTTTGTGATAGCTGTCCCCATCTCTACATATGCTGAAATTGAACTCAAGAAACCAGTCCAATGTCATTCTAATCAGCGAACAATAGTATTGCTGGAATTTCTATCATAATGCTACAAAATTAGCCTCGGGTTTCTTAGTGTCTCTTCCTCAGAGTATCTGTTCATTACATCTTGCATTATATAATCTGTTCCCATAAATATTTAAAAAGAAAAAGAAAAAAAAAACCCATGTGTGAATTTCTACCTATATATCTATCCTCTCTGTATTATAGGGAATACCAAGTCATAGCAAGACAGCAAAACAATTTCCTAGAAAAACATGCAATGGATAAGACATATAAGACCACAATATAGATGATCTTCCGTAGTTACTATGTTTTCTCTTGTTATTTTCAATAGATTTGACCACAGCACTGGCTTATTATAGTTAAATATAGTATCACCTATTTTTATAAAAACTTAACTTTGACAGCATTGTAGGATTTGAGAGCTGTTACTAATTAATATCAGTATGGATATCCTTTACATCTTGTCATCCTCAGAGTAGTTGCCTCTACTTTTAGGGTTGATACTAACAAGCATACCAATTTCAAATAAAATCAGCCAAGGCCAACCCATAGTCTTATGATTCAGATTCAATTAACATCAGTCATAGTAAGACAATGTAAGTAATACAGGCTTTCAGTTTAAGTTAATAGGAAAGTAAGGATAGTTACCATGGTATAACCTGCTATTTTGGGGTCAAGATGTCTGTGCCCTCAAATCTGACATGAGTGGACAGACCAGTATAAATTAAATTCAAACTAAATATGTCAATAAGACTACTATGTCTTTTAAATCCTTATACACCATTAACAATGACCTATGCCTTTTTCTTTTTTTTTATAGTTTCAGAGCTGTCTATACTAAAGACTATAGCTTACTGTCTCTGCCTCATGTCTGCTACTCCACTTTTCTGCTATAATTTATCCACCTTATTCCCTCATTCCACTGTCTGCCCCGTTCACTGAGGCCTCTCTGCCACTATTGCTGGAATCCTGATATCTCTTCCTCTCTTTCTCTGTAATGTCCTTCAGCACTCTCTGTAGGGTTGGATTGGTGGCCATGAACTCCCACAGTTCCTCCTTGTCTTGAAAATATCTTATTTCTCCATTAATTTTGAGAGAGAGTTTTGACGGGTATATGAGCTTTGGTTGCATATTATTTTCTTTCAGGACTTGGAATATTTCTCCCCACTCCCTTCTTAAGAGTTTGTGTTGATAAGTCTGCTATTATTTTGATAGTTTTCCCGTTGTAGGTAATCTGCATCTTTTCTATGGCTGCTTTTAATATTCTGTTCTTTTGGTGGATTTCTGAAATCTTGATTATTATATGTCTAGGCGTAGATCTGTTTTGGTTATAGGTAGCTGGTGTTCTGTATGCCTCTTTTATCTGGATATCATTTCTTTTTGCTATATATGGGAAATTTTGCTTTAATATATCTGTGAATATTCTTTGTATTTCATTTTTGGTTGCTCCTGTTTCCTCACTCACATTCTTTATTCTTAAGTTATGTATCTTTTTGTCATCTTCTAGTTTTTGAATTGCTTCTTTCTGGTTCCTTGTTATTTTTAAGAGGCTTTTTCTTTCACGATCATATGCCATAAATCTCTCTTCACGTTTCAGAAGGCTGTCTTTAGTTTCTGTCAAGGCATTTTGCCAGTGTTCAATGGAGTTTTTAGTTTCCTGGTATTCTCTTTGGATCTGTTTCATGCCTTCTCAGTTATGTTTAAATTCTTCTTCAGAAGTTTCTCTTTTCTGATTTCCTCAGTTCTTCCCTCTGTGTTCTCTTGGGCGGGGCTTGTCATTTCTTTAATTAATCTCTTTATATCTTGCCTCACTTGAATCAGGAATACAGCTTTAAACTCTTCTATGAGATCGTGAAGGTACTTTTTAATTTCGGCTGATGTTGTGTCGAGCAATGGATGGTTACTGTGCTTGTTCTCTTCGGTGTTTACTTCTCCTGGGCTTATTTTCTCATGTTGGGCAGCTGGAGATTTTTTTTTTATTTTTATCTCTTGTCATGTTTCTGGTTTCTTTCAGACTGTCCTGGGGTTCTCTGGCCCTCTCCGAATTGCTTAGGGCCTTTCAGAAGCGTGCTGACTTGAGTTTTTGCTGTCTTCCCCAATTTGCTGTTATCTGGGGTAGGCTGGGATGCAGGGGCGGTACAGGCTAGTCTCCAGCCTCTGCTCCAGTCAATCCGTAAATTAGGCTGTACTTTCTGGATGTCACTGAGTTGTGACTATTTTGTATCTGCTTATTGGGCCCCAAGCAGAGGCTTGGTTTAGCCCCAGTAGCTCCTGCCGGTTCTCTTTGTACCAGAAGCAGCTGACTAATGTCACTATGGCACAGGGTTCTACCCAAATCCCAGCTGTTCTCTTCCAGACCTCTCTGTGACAGGAGCACCAGAACAGCAGATCTGCCCAAATCTAAGATGTCTCCCACTAGTTCTCTGTATGACGCTGAAGCCAACACGTACTCAGGCTCTGCCCAATTTCAAGATGCCTTCCACCAGCCCTCTCTACAGGGGGACTCAGTGATGCCACCGAGCTGTAGGTTCTGCCCGACTGTAAGATGGCTGCCACCAGACTCTGTGTTATTGATGTCCCCGTGGTGGCGGGCACTGCCCAGTTCCAAGATGTTCTCTGGCCAACCCAGCAGCCACGGGGTTCCCAGTATTCACCAGGGTCCACGCCGCCCACCTTTCCCGCCTATCTACTAGTATTTTTAAGAATGCTTCAAATATATATATTTAAGTCACTGATACTGGAGTTTAACTTGCTGTGAAATGCACAATAACTTTATAGTTTTCCAAATGATTGTTCAGTTCCAATATTTTTTCTCTCAATTTGAAATATTATCTTTATTTTATATTAAATGCTCTTATATAATTAGATTTATTACTATTTGTTCCATTGATAGATGTATTTTAGAACCAATACTTCATAATTCCTTACTACTTTTAATAGCTACTGTAAAAATCAAATGAATAATAGGTATTGTGAACAATGCAAACATACTAACGAAACTTCGTAGAAAAAAACATTTGCATAGTACAAAGAGATTTAGATAACTTGTTTTCATTACTTATTTACCATCCTCTTAAATAATCATAATTTCAAAGAATAATTGTACTCTCTCTATAACCCTAATTAATTTATACATACACAATAGTCTCTCCTCTATACCAATATTGTTCTCTTCCTTATATTGTGAAAAATATGATGCTGAGAGAAGCACTAGGGCTTTCTAAGTTTTACACACAGTAGTACTATAAAATAATAGGTTTTATTTACAAGGTCAGCCTTCTTATACAGAGTAATAAATGTTTCAAAGTATTTATTAAAATGTAAATCAAAATGACAATGTTTGATACTATGGAGATAATAGTTCCTACTGTTAAGATGACTTTACTTAGAAAACACATATTTAGAGGAAATTCAATGGGGTTAATAAGAGATTTACTTAATCGTCAGCTGAGAAACTTAAGACTAATATTACCCATATTTTGCAGAATAAATGTCAAAACTGTCTCATTATATTTATACCCAGAAAGGTGCCTCCCTCAACACCAGCCCTGAGAAAGAAACCATTCACCTTCCCAGATGAGCACCTGTGTGACAGGGAAGAGGAGTAGAGAACACACAGGCAAGACCAGCGAGCCCATATCCACAGCGAGCTCTGAGTGAGCAGGAGAGACTTAGCAAGCCCTGCCTGAAAGGTGGCTCAGCTGCTGAGAGTGAGGAAAGCAATGCAAAAGCAAACCCTTGGTCCCAGCAAAAGATGAAAATAAAGACACAAACACACACACATACACATGTGCATGCATGCATGCTCCTTAACCTCTTCACTATTAAAATCTACCAATCAATTTTGCTTAAAACTTGTGATGATCAAAATTAAAATACATTCCCCTGTATTCAGATACAGGAAAATTTACTGTACTTTGGAACATTCTTAAGTATCATTGGAAAATTAAAAATTATTTACTGTGTATACAAGCACCTAAATATTATTATCAGAGATAGTAACAACAATACTGGGATAAAGACAATGTAAATAAGACTAATATATTACTGTTACATGAAAAAATAATAAAAGTAGATTCATTAAAACAGTAACTGAAATAACTGCTACAGTATTCAACATTTATCTTTATTCTAATTCATTTTAAAGTTTTATTATTTGTTTATACTGTAATTAAAAATGACTGTCATTTTTTAATTTTTTGCATGCATGCTAGATAGTTGCTCTGTATCTCCAGTCTCCAGAGTAAAACTTGAAGGGGAAAATAAAGGAATAAACATTTAGTTTCTCACCTTTAACTTCACTATTTAAAGAAAGAATTCTATTTTCTATGTTATGGCTGGGATCTTAAATATTTCCCGAAAGGTTCACTGCCTTGAAGCCAAGGTTCCCAGCTGGTGGGCTTTGGGAAGTGATTGAGTCATGAGGGCTCTAACTTCACCAAGTGGATTAACCCAGTGATAACTGCACAGCTCAAGGGGCTTTGAGGATGTGCTATGAATGAAGTGAGTCTCTGTCAGCAGTGGGGTTGGGTGATGGTTCTGAAGGGGATATTTTGTTCTCGGTCACTTTGTTTCTGCTTTGATCTCTCCCTCTGCTTCCAGGCCACCATTCTGCAGCTTTGCCCCATCATGTCCTGCCACAATATTCTGCCATGAAGGATGCAGAAACAATGAACCCAGCTAACCCTGGACTGAAACCATGAGCCCAAATAAACCTTTCCTCCTTTAAATTGACACTTTCAGGTATTCTGTCACAGTGATAGAAAACTAACATACCTTGTCTCTTCTTCCTCCCTTCACCTCCTTTCCCAACATCAATTTTATGAATATACAAAATTACATTTGCCACCAATTCATACCTCCATTATTACAGATGCTATCGGCTGGAAAGGATTAGCAGTAATTGGTCTTGGGTCCAACTCATCCAGACCACTGGTTCCATCCAGTTCTGCTTGCTCTCTTTCTCTTTCTTCCCTATTATTAGTGAGGGGAAATGGAAATTTCTTTATAAAAACTGTTATGTTTAATAAGCCAATTTGTAATAGGTTTAATCTTCATAATTTAAACATCATGTCATAGCTCTTATTATAGAGAGGATTTCAAAAATATGCAGATAACAGGCCTCTATCCTCATATAAAAATTAGTTATTTAAAGTTAGGCATGGTGGCACATGCCTGTAATCTCAGCATTGGTTTTTTTGTTTGTTTGTTTTGTTTTGGTTTAGTTTTGTTTTGATACCAGAAATTGAACTCATGACTTCATCCTTTGTAAGCAAGCACTGTGCCACTGCCCTATATCTCAGCCCCAACCTCAGCATTCTAGAGGCTGAGGTGGGATGACTGCACAAATTCAAGGCCAGTCTGGGATATATAATGAGTTCAAGGCCTTCCTAAACTAATATAGTAAGACCCTGTAGCAAAAAAAAAAAAAAAAAACAACAAAAACAAAAAATCAGTTATTTGAACTTAAAGAAATTCTGACAAAATAAGAGTGGCTTTTCTCATTGTTTATTTAGGTTTTTTTTTGTTTTTTGTTTGTTTGTTTTGTTTTTGAGACAAGGTCTTCCTGTAGAATTCAGTCTGGTCTTGAACTCATTTTGTAGCCCAGGCTGGTCTTGAATTTGTGGCAATCACCCTGCTTTAGCCTTCAAAGTGCTGAAATTACAGAAATACACCATCACCACACCCAGCTAACAGCACCTTAATGTTAATAGCACAAATTTGTTCTCAAAAGTATATATTTGTCATATTATTAATAATTATGCTCTAGAATCAAAGGTATTCTTTTTTTACCAGCATCATCAGAAAAGTCTTTGAGATATATCTTTAACTCAACCTGTGTTTTTATTTATACACAAACGTGTCTTTTATTTATATTACAAAGAAAACAGTGGGATATCTATAGATTTTTTCTATAGAAGTATAAAAGGTAGTACTATATTTTTCCCAGTTGTATGTAATATTTGCACAGCTAGGGAAAAAACTATTACTTAAAGCTGGAGGTGGTGGTGCACACCTGTAATCAGCACTCAGGAGGCTGAGGCAGGATGATTGCTGCAAGTTTGAGGCCATTCTGAGCTACACAATGAGTTCACGTACAGCCTGAACTATACAGTGAGACCTTGTCTCAAAAAACAAAAATACAAAACAAAACAAAACAAGAAACTGTTGCTTAGTTTAAAAGTATGAGAAGTTATAAAAACAAGTTGCTCTATATCATTCAGATTAAATATTTCCATATTAGTTGCTACTCATTTACAATTTCTTTTTTTAATTCACTATTTCTGTGATTTAGAGTTAATGTTTCCCAATATATGAGGAGTAAATTACAAAACAAGCAGCCAAAGGCAGAAAAATGAGTATTACGAATGATCAACTAGGTTAGCAGTAAAACAATCTAATTATGGCATTTGTTAACTGTGTTCTAAAATGGAAATATATATCCTTTCAATCTGAATCTGGGAAGGCAAGGTTTTAAGATTTACAACTAATCATTCCACGACCTTGGACTAGATTGTTGAGCCTCAGCATCCCATAAATATGGAAAAAATACCTCACTGAGCTGTTTCAAAGATCAAATAAGGCAAAATATGTGAGGGAACTTGTAAATAAATAAAACACAATAGTTACTGTTATTTATATTACTCATTTATTAGTAACAATTCCCAGTGTATAGTATTAATACACTATTCTGATACCCAAATTATGGGGTTATTTTACTGCTTTACAAAAAAAAAATAGAAATGATTATGAGGACCAATTAGATTGGATTTAGTAAAGTAAAAATATTGTTTTCTAATCTCTGTAGCTTGTCCTCTCTAAGTATCAACTGATGTTTAATTTTAGGTGGTTAATTGATGTTTAATTAAAGAGCAGTCTCAAACCACTGCAGCCCAGGATAAGGAGAAAAGAGGAGAAGAAAACAAATATTAGAAATGCATGCCATGATATGGAGTAGGTAAAAGCCTTTGTAAATGACTCACATTAAATTTCTTGTATTCAATTTGATTCCTGTCTCTCCCAACTGCCTTCCTCTCTCCCTCCCTTTCTTTCCCTCTCTCTCACTCCCTTCTCTCTGCCTTACACAGGTTGGCCACATTTTCCACCTCTGTCTACTCACACAGTCCCATGCTATTGTTTTCTTCATGGAGAAAAGGTAAAAGGGTTTTCAGAAAAGAATGGCCCTATACAATATTTTTATAAATAAAGTATTTTACATATGTGACTACTTGTAATGAGCATGATAGCATGAAAACATACCCTGCGATATAAACCCAAAGATTCTCACAGTAACTAAAACACATGCTGGCAGCTGCCTCAAGACCACTCATTCTCCTCTTTCTTAGGTAAGACAAGGACCTAGATGAGTGGCACACTCACATTACAGAGCACTTCAGGAGAGGGCAAGAGAGTTATTTTACACATATTTCTTTTCTTTACAGAATTCTCTTAATGAAAGAAGAACACTGCCAGAGGATTTCCTCCACAATGTAAGGGGAGGCCTCACAAAAGCTCAGGAGTACCGCGTTTTTGCTCATTAAACCATATGAAAAGCCAATACTGCTTAGGTTGATGGGAGGCAATTCTGGATCTTACAAGAACCTACTGAGAAATCCTTCCCATTTTTCCTCCTTTCCCTCCCTCTTCCACAGTAAATTCAACTTATATTTAAATCATAGCACTTTCTTGCATTAATAACATTATAAGTGATTCTGAAGTAGACTTTATATAATCTATCAAAATTACAGTTTGGTGGATTTAATTTAAATGTTTTCTTTTTCAAAGCATATTTCAATAACTTAAGATATATATTTTAATGACTTAAAGTATATTTAAATATATTTAAAATGGTATACTTCTGACAATTAGTACTGATGATTAGCTTTTTCTCAGTTAAGTTACCTTTTAAAATCTCACCTTCTATCTTTGCTAAGACTAAAGAAAGGTTTCTGAATCTCCATAGTTTTGTCATTTTGAGCCTTACAATTCTTGGTGGGGGAAGACTGTCCTGTACATCGTAAAATGTTTAGCAGCGTCCCTGGCCTCTACACAATAGGTATGAGTACTACCTCTCCCTCCTCCCAGCTGTGACAATAAAAATGTTTTCAGACATCTCCACATGGCCCTGAAAGGCCAAAATCTCTCTGTACATTGAAAACCACTACTCCAAAGTGCTCCTAAGAGGTATTTCTTTTTCTTTCTTTCTTTTCTTTTTTCTTTTTTTTTTTTTTTATTTTGGCACTGGAGATCGAACTCACAACCTTGCACCAGTCAGGTACTCCTAAGACATAAGACAGAAAAATTTTGAAACTCTGGGAAATAATGACTACATAAGCAATATATTCAGCTAGTAAAGTTAAAATCTATCACCTAAGCTTGTATAACCAAAGATCCATAAAATAAGCAATTTATTTAGTATCCCCCTTCATCAAAAGGAGACAAAACTGAATAGGATAGGCAGACTGAATAAACACAAGTAGCAAAGAATAAAACTGCACGTGCTATAAAATTAGGCTACTTACCTTTCTTCTCGTAACTTTCGCACTCGTTCAGCTCTTTCTCGTTTCTCCTGTTCCTCAAGAGCTCGTTGTTCAGTTGTGTCCTTTTGGATCCTTTCACTTAAGATATCAAAGTCTCTTGCAATGATATGTAGCAGCCAGTAAAGGCCCTTTTTAATAGATTTGTCAATTTTCTTTCCATACCCCAAGACTGCCGAACAAGGTTCCTACAACAGACGTTTTATGTGATTCAAACTTGTTAAAGCTAAAAGATCTCCACAGAAATTTACATTCATACAACTTTACATATAATTATCAGTAAATCAAAATTAAACTATTTTGAATATTTATATGAAGCATCTGCTCACTTATAAAACACACTTCATTACTACATAATAACTAAATAATTTTACATATAGTATCTGAAAGCTACAAGACTCACTATGACATAGGAAGTTGATAGGTATCAGTTATAATTTTAAACCATTCTATTGGAAGACAAAATAGATCTGCCATGAGAAAAATATATCGACTTATTAAGAATATTAGTAAGTTTTAATTTCTTAACCAATGAATTTATAGCAGTAAACATCCATAAAGTTCACAACCTAATAATAATTTTACAAAACTAGAATTAAACTCATCTCTTTCTTAAGGTGGTATGACAATTCTCCTGATAAAATTTTTCAAAATTCATTATGAATTCCCAAATATAAATCTTATCTTTGCACTTTTTCTTTACCATTTAAAAATTTTATAGCATAACATTTTGACATATGTACTTTACAAAAAGTAATGCAAACACTCTGCAGTCAGGAAGGATAGCTTTCTCAAGAAGTCAGTGATAACTAAACAGGAAACATTACATTACAACATAACTAATGCCAACAGAACAGTAACAGCATGATTTCCTATGGAAAACAATCGAATGTCCTTTAACTGCTTATCACCTTTATAAGAACTACATTATACTAAACATTTCTGTAAAAAGCAGAAAAGAAAACACTTACTATCTGACACAGGCACTTGTGCTCATTAACCAATTTTTCTAAAGACAGACACTCAATCACATCAGCTTCTCCTAAAGCCCCTTCTTTGTCCTGTTTATTTGCCAACCTACAAAAACAAAGTGGTTGTACTATAACAATCAGTTGACATCTTTAAAATATATTTTAATTAATGGTTTAATTTGTGATGGGATAGGACCTGAGCTCCAGCTTAGTGTTATAGCTCTTGCCTAGCACACATATGGCTCTGGATTTGATCCTTCGCAACATGTTCCAAAAGAAAAAAAGAAAACACTCATTTTGGCATTGTGAATAACATATCTTAATTCTTTTTACTTCCTCTCCCTACCTACATTTCTCCATCTGTCCATCTCTGGGTCTCCTCCTACTTACAAAAGGTCTACCTCTCTGTTTGCTATTAGGTTAGACTACGTTCTTCTCGTCAATAGTTTTAAATCTACTGATTATAGAACTAGACTGAGAAAGTACTGTAGTATTATCTCATCATTGTTCCTTATTTATCATTGTAAAATAAAGCTCATAAGAACTGGTTATAAAACCAAAACCAAGAAGTATCAAGAAAACACAAACAATAGACCAGTAGCCCAAAAGATGGAACAAACAGGGAAAAAAATGGCCTACTTTCCATGGCCCAAAACCACATATTATGTCTTTATTTCTTTTTCTTTTCTTTTTTTTTTTAAATTTTATATAAGGAGAAAAAGAAAAAAAAAACAGAAAAAGGGTACAAGTTATACAGATTTATAGAAAAAAATAAACAGTAGGAAATCACTAGTTAATGGATTACATTTTGTCATCTCAGAAACAATTGTTCAAGTTACAAAATTAAAGCTTATAAAGTGGACATTCCAACAGTGAGACTGCAAACAGTTCTGTTTAATGATCCAAGAAAACTCAGTAATATCATTATCTATCTTATACGCTTAAATATACATGCAGTTATATCGTTTAGAGCACTTTCTTTTCCTCTCTTTTGTACAATGACAATTACACATTTTGGGTTTTGTTGCTCCCACAGTTCTTATTACTTTTTTGGAAGAGAGTAGAACCAAATGTGACATAACAGAACAGTCAGTCAAATCAAAAGGGTGGACATAATAGATAATGTAAAAGCATAATACTAAGTGATCAACAACGGTTACCATAATGCCTCCCGCTATCTCTAATAGAATTGCCTATATCATTAGTTATAATAAAATTTGAACAAAACTGTAAAGAACAAAAGCAACAAAACCAAAACATTGGAGACATTATAGGTCTTCAAAAGTAGATAATAGTCAACCAGAATGGGCGTCATAATGAATCCCACTACCTTCACAGCTGTTGCCTAAACTTTCGAACCTGGTACTATCAAGCAAAACAGAATAGAGGAACATCAGTCAAAACAAGATGGTGAGAGCAATACAGGGCTTTAAATCAAGATAATGGAAAATCAAAGTGGGTTACTATAATATATCCTGCTGTTTTTTAATTTATTTTCCCTTAATTAAAAGGATTAAAAAAGTAAATAATAAAATGGAGATTGAGATAAAGGAGGGCATAACAGCAAATCAGAGCAGATCAAAACATAACCATTTAAGCAAAATAGTGTTTCACCACAAGATTATCCCGACATAAAAGTAGTTACCATATTGTCTCTTTCCTTGAAATCTTTGAGTATAACTTCGTATACTGTAGCATCAAATATATCAAAACAATGTAAAACCATTTAAGAGAATGATAGTATTACAGGGTATTTAGAATCAACTAACAGAAAATGAACAATGGTTTCTGTATAATCTCCTTGTCTATAAAAGGTTTTGCTTATACTATCACATATAATAAAATCCAATAAGATACAACCTGTTTAGACCAATGGAGACAGAAGAACAAAAGCTTGATGAGACTTCAAAACAAGATGATACTAAATCAGTATTACTTCTTAAGATGTCATTTTCTCCAATATAGCTGTTCCTATCATCCAATCTTCTCTGCCTCATTTCTGTTGAGCTCTTTTTCTGTCATTAGTTGTCAGTTTGTCTTCTTCATTTTGTTTTCTGCTCCATTCATTGTGGCCTCTCTGCTGCTACTTCTGGATTTTTCGTATTTTTCTTTTTTAGAATATCTTGCAGTATTCTCTGTAGAGTTGAATTGGTGGTTGCATATTCCCCTAGTTCCTCTTTATCGTGGAAGCACCTTGTTTTTCCATCAATTTCCAGGGATAGTTGTGCAGGATATATCAATCTTGGCTGGAAATTATTATCTTTCAAAGCTTGAATTATTTCCCCCCAGGCTCTTCATGATTTGATGGTTTGTGCAGAGAAATATGCTGTAATTCTGATGGGTGTTCCCTTGTAAGTGGTCTGTTTCTTGTCTCTGACGGCTTTTAGTATTCTGTTCTTGTATTGGATTTCTGGAATTTTAATTATTATATGCCTGGGTGTTGCTCTGTTTGGGTTGTAGGTGGCTGGGGTCCTGTATGCTTCATACAACTGAGTATCTTTACCTTTTGCTAAATTAGGAAAATTCTCCTGGATTATTTCTGTGAGTAGCTTTTGTAGTTCATTTGTTTGTGTCCCTACTTCTTCTTTTATGTTCTTAATTCTTAAGTTATAGACCCTCTTATCATTGTCTAGTCTTTGTATTATTGCTGATTGTTTCTTTGTTATTTTTAAGAAGTTTTTCATTTCATGCTCCCATATTACAACTCTGCCCTCCAGTTCAGATAATCTGTCCTTAGTTTCTTTCAAGCTGTTATGCCAGTGTTCAATAGACTTTTTAGTTTCCTGGTAGTCTCTTTGAACCTGCTTCACATATTCTATGCTTTCTCTATTTTCTCCATTAAACAATTCTCCCCTCTTTTTCTGTTCTTCCATTCCACCATCTGTTTTTTCTTGGGTGGTGCTTAGCATTTCTCTAACTATTCTGTTTATGTCTAGCTTCAGGTCATTAATAACTTCATTCCTGAACTTGTCCATAAGGCTCTCATGCTAGCGCTTTATATCTATTGGTGCTGTGTCTGCTGTTGTCTCTTTCTCAGGATTGGGGGCCGAGGGGCCTTCCTTGTTGCTCCCTCTTCCCATATTCTTTGTTCCTTATATATGCAAGCGTATATAGGAGGCCCAGCTTCCTTCCCTGTCAGCCACAGTCTGATTGAATTGCGCTGGCTAGGTGTTCCCACCCACCGCAGCGCACCAGGAAATTGCAGACCAGGCAGCCTATGCGGGGCCCACCCCTCCAGGTCAATCTACCTTCAGGAGCTGAGACCTGGGTTGTGCTAGCCTACTGGTCTCAGCCAGCAGCGTCATGTGGGCTAGGCACTGCTCACCAATCCCACTTGAGAGGGGGATACGTGACTGAAGTCACTGCAGCGCCCTGTTCCCACAAGCCTGCCTGGTCCCAGAATATCCTCTGTTGGAGTCTCCTAGACCGTGGAAGAGTCCCAGTTTTCCCTCACTCACTGGAGATGTATGCACGGCTCCCCGCCCATCCCGCTCTCAACTCTGTTCACCGGATCCCGTTCTCAGAGCTTCCACGCGTCTCTCTCCCTGCCGAGCCAATGCAGACGCAGTGGCGGCGGCGGGAAACCAAAATCGCAGCAGGATTGCATTCCCAGTTGGTTTCTCTCAGCCTAGTTCGTTCTTGGATCACCGGGGCATATCTCCTGTTGCTTATGATTCCTTACTCAGCACCATTCCTGAATTCTAAGCTGGGTGTTTCAGAGAGCCTCCGTAGCTGCTGCTATCTGTCCGCCATGTTCTCCCGGACTATGTCTTTATTTCTTAAAATAAACTGCATCATCATGTAAATATCCTCATTCCACATAAATATCTTATTAAAATATAAACCTTATAATTTTTAAATGTCAATTATTCATTCTGTATTTGAGCTCATCTACATTTCTAATGTGTGAATGTGTCCATGTAAATGTGCAATTTACTGAAGGCTCATGGTTACTTCTAATTTACCTGGCGTAGAACATTAATAAACAAACACACTTCATGTGCAGTTCACATACTTACACACTCATCTCGATGCAAACTGGGGAATCACATGAAAAACCAGGTAACTTCTAGAGATACTAGGAAATTGCCATGATTACCACTATTTTTCTATTAGATGGAAGAGATCAAAAAACATAGTTGGCCACTCGTATTCATAGATGCTGTATACATGAATTTAAATAACTTCAGATAGGAAGTGTTTGGGAAAAAAACCAAAACATTGACTGACTGTATACCAACTTTCCTTTTGTCATTATTCCTTAGTAATACGCAACTGCATAACAACTATCTATATAACATTTATACTGTATTGTATTAAGTATTATAAGCACTCTAAAGGTAATTTAAATTATACAGATGTGGATAGGTTATATAGACGCTTGACTTTTTGGGGGGGAGGCACTGGAAGTCAAACTTATAACTTCATGCTTGACAGGCAGATACTGTGCCACTGAGCTATACCCCCAGCCCCAGATAGGTCATATAGAAATCTTCCTATTTTACATGAAGAACTTGAACATCTTTGGATACTGGTACTTATGAAGTATTATGGGACCAATTCCTTTTGACACTGGGTGATAACTATACTGTACACGGTCAGGGTTTGTTAGAGCTTTGGCAAAAAAACTTTTCCATAAATACACAGAATAATAAATCTAATGAACTACTGCCACATACCTTTAAACATTTGTACCTTTAAGTATTATCAATACTGCATGATTCTTGCAGATACACTCACCTTTGCCTGTATTACTTCACCAAAACATTTTATAATTACAAAACATGTCCACACTATCACACCTAATAAAATTATTAAAAAGCCTTTAATATTATTCAATGTACTTAATATTCCTCAACAGCTTTTTAAAAGTATTATGTTCAGATATAAATCAAATACATTAAAATGTATCACTTGTAAATCTTTTAAAGTCTGTAATAACTACCCTCTTCCAACTCCAGTACTCTTTTTCTCTCAAAGCATTTATTTTCAGAAGAAAATAAATCATTTTTTTGTAAAAATTCATATGTTTAGGTTTGGCTAATGTCTTCTTTAGGAGATTATTACTGTACATGTCCTGTATTTCCTATATCTGATAATTAGATTATGGAGACTAGAGGAGTTTCAGGCTGAAATAATTTCGTAGCATAGTTAATAAGGTTGCTAGCAATTAGAAGGTATCAAGCACCACTTTTACATTATATCATGTTTTACTAACATTAAAATTGATCAGTGGATGAGTCAGTATGATCCTTTTTTTTTTTTGAATGGGGAAGAAACTCACGACCTCATGCTTGCCAGGCAGGTACTGTGCCACTGAACTATATCCCCAGCCCTTAGTCTTTTACTTAATGATTTTAACAATAATTAATGAAGTTTGCTTAATCCAGTTATTTTATAATTTTATAAAATAAAAACTAATACTATATTCCTTCTGCATTTAATAGCAGAATTTTCTGTAAAAAAATTAGCTTCCATCAATTATTTGGCAACTCTTAGTCAAAAAGTTACAGTTAAATCAAGATAATTGTTCGATCATTTGACTTTATTCTCTAATTTTCATAATAATTAATTGGTCAAGCCACCCCCAAGTTGCTTTATCACCTTTTTAAAATCTTTTAGGGGACATCATTACAAACTGATTTTCTAAAATGTATTTGATGTACATCAGTTTACTGCAGTCACTGTTCCTGTGAAGGCCCAAAGCTGCCCATCTATGGACATAGAGGCCTTTCCAGGCGGCTCCAGCCTCCTTAGTTGTGCAATTTCAACAGCTGTTGATAATTTCTTTGCTTCCTAATGTGAAGCACTGTTTAAGACCTGGAATTACTTATTTCCCCAAGACTCTCTGGTCTTTTCAGGGGACTTTTCAGGTATTGTTTTAAGATACAATGTGACACTAATGACATTCACTGCTACTGACTTGTCATTGTTTCCCAATCCTTTCAGAGTATATAGCTAGGAAGCGTTTTTTCTTTCTTTCTTTCTTTTTCTTTCTTTCTTTCTCTTTTTTAGAAAGAAAATAAAAACTAATTCATGAGTTCATATTGATTTTTCTCATTTCAAATCAATGAAAGTTTTTGCTTATCTTCTTAGATTTCATTGTATCTCTATGCTGACAAGTATAGTTTTAATAACACTGACATTAACCACTTGTTGTATCCTGTTATATACATGTTTCAGCTGAATGATATCAGTATCATTACTAAAATATGACATACTAAATAGAGGTAGGATCTGCTAGTGGTTATTTTTCAAGGAGAGATGTACCAAGTAATGAGATTTAAAATTACTTAAGGCGTTGCATGTATAGCTGAATGGGGGTCTTGCTTAGTATGCACAAGCCCCTAGGTTCAATCCCCAGCAATACACACACACACACACATACACACACGATAAATAAGGAATAAAATAAACTGATATAACCTTTCTCTGTGTAGTCAGACTGCCACCTACATATACAGCAAGATTCACTTGTCTCGGGATGCTTTTGCTCTTTTAAAAGATAGTCTGGGGACAGGGACATAACTCAGTGGCACAACTCCTGCCTGGCAAGCACAAGGTCATGAGTTTGATCCCTGGTACAATAACAAAAAAATCTGAAAGACAGACTGTATCTTAAGATTTAATTTTTAAAACATTTGTATGGTTCCAAATTCAAAACTATAAAAACAAGATAAAATGGGAAAGAACCCGTTCTAACCCTCCTCCTCTACTGTTTCCCATTTGTGGTAATTATTTTTTATTAATTTTTAGTTCATCTTCATATTCTTTCTTTTAGAAAATATTAACAAGTATTTGGGAGAAATAGTATTTTGAGTAACTGTATAGGGAAGTAGTACTTCCAAATGAGGAAAACCTCAATTTGGATACCACAGATTTCACTGGGAATAACTTGGATGCATCAGTATGTAGGATAGCTAGTATACTGCATAAACTTCTTTTGCAGCATGCAAAATGACAGAGTAAATTCTCAAACAGGACAAATAAATCTTCATTATGCAATTGCAAAATATTCTATTGTATGGTTATTCTATCGTTTTACTGAGCACTTCTATACTAAAAGACTTTTTTGTTTTTCTACTTTTTTGTTTTTACTTAAGAGTGCTATTGAATCATTTCTTATTTGGGGAGAGATTCTAGGAAGTACAGCTTCTAAATCAAAGAATCATTTCAAATGTTATTTTGTGAGTTATTATAATAATGTTTTCTTGTTGCCCTCAAACAACAATCTACATAAAAAAGTGGACAGGTTTAGAAATTCAGTGGTATGTGAGAAATTTTCACATGTAACTTTCTTATAAAATACTTTCACCTGGAAAAACTACTCTTTTTTTTTTTTTGTCTTTTTCGTTTTTATCGGTACCAGGGATCAAACTCAGGACCACACACTTGCAAGGCAGGCACTTATGCCGCTGAGCTAAATCCCCAGCCCTCACCTGGAAAAATTAAGTTTAAATTATTATACTGATATAGTAAACAGCTTATGTGGCTGTAAAACTTTTTGCTGTTCTACACTAAAACTACATAAGAAACTTATTTTAAGGTAAAAATGGAAATATATTGAAAAGTGCAGTAGGGTGGAAGGTTAGAGACATGAGACATTTCCTGGCTGTTCTACTTCTGAAATTCTATTATTTTCAAGAGTTAGGTCCTTGTGGGATTTCCTAAAATAGGATAGACTTCAATCATCTTAAAGTAAATGGTGTAAAAGCCTCTACACTAAGTTTATTTCCATTACAATTTATTCCTGGTCTGTAGTTTTAGCAGGTTTTCATATCTAAAGAAAAAAAAGTAATCTTATTTAAATACAAGATTTTTTGGATTACTTCACAGGTACGACAGGGCTGGGTTCATATGTGCAATATATTTTATGTGGGCAGTTTAACAAGGACTTCCTGCTACTGAACTAGCTCCAGTGAAATTTTTCCTTTAATCTAAAGAATAGGCGTTGAACTGGCAGAACCAGATTCTCCAGGTGTGAAGTAAGCAATCTGTTCTTCTCTTTTAATATTAACAGCAAAAGCACAACTTTATCTTCAACTTATTTGACTTTATTATCTGGCTTTCAATTAACTACATGAGAACATACAGAAACCAGCCTGTGACCTGTAAGACAGAGATTTACATAATTGATCAAACATTACAGCAGATGATACTCAAATTTTCTCTGCGGCAGGACTCCAATACCACAGTGGAAAAACAACCAAAGGAACAAGACAGAAAGGTAAATAACCTATCTTTTTCTACTTCTTAATGTAAGACATTCATAGAGAAAATCTGGTTTTATTGTGGCATTTAAATATATGGTAACAGATAGTTAAATTTACCTATTTTGCTCAGACTTGAACAAGGCCCTAATTGGCTGCTCTGTTCATAGATATTACTAAAAAAATGAATCAGACTTTAGAAGAAATAATTTTTAAAGTATTTAAAATGTGATTTATCATTTTGGAAATATCAGTAAGTCAGATTATACCTAGAATGCACATATATGTATAATCTTTGAAGTTGAGATAATTTCATACAGTTTTAATTAATTTCTATTGCTGTTTCCCAGAATCCTTTAAAACTAATTTGAAGAAATTAGAAAATAATCTTGTTGTAAAATGACTAACATGAATTATCAAAGTACTCAGTCCCCTTTTTAATGTGTCAATCAGTATACTAAAAGTACTTAAATTCTAAAATTTAACAAAATTTTTAAACTACTAAATCAATATGATGTCCAAGTCAGTGTCATTAATTGCAAACTAAAGCAGGTTGGATACTTTCTATCTTATATTTGCTACCATTGTCAGGATTTAACAAACACCCTACTTGAAATACAGCTAATAGTGACTTGTTCAGATATTTTAAGGGTAGACCTGAAAGTTGGCCACATACCACCTAGATTATGCTATCTTTAAAGCTACCCACTTCTAAATTTAATATAACAATTATGTACAAGTTACCTGAATTAGATAATTGAAAGTTTAAAAGGTACATGAGTCATAAAAATATTTTACTATTACTAAATTAAGCAAGTTAATGTAACAAATTAAAAATAGGAAAAAAGCATTTAAAGACTAAGAACAATGTCAGGTGATTAAAACTTAAGATATACAATCTGCAGTAATTTTTAGAAATCATTATTTTGTTCTCATTTAAGTATCCAAAAAAGTAAGATCCACTATTTTAACCCTGAACTAGAGAAATGCTGCAAGCTGCCTTCACATGCAAAAGTAAGAGGATATCTCTCATATTTGGTATAAAACTGGCTATATTTTTAAAAATTATTTCAGAGTCAATCCCCAGTACCAAAAAAAAGAAAAAAAATTATTTAAGAAATACATTGAGTGTAGAAAGGAACTGCTTACTTAAAAAATGTATAACAATATGAAGCATATACGCCATAGCATAATTCTTAAAGCACTATGTAATTTTTATTTGTTTTCTGATTCTAGGATCTGTAACAGGGTGGAGAAAGTTTTAGAGTCATATAAGTTTACTTTTCTACTTCCTAGAACGAAGTGTCAAAGTTGACTACGGTATGTCCCAACTACCGTCCTTTTTTTTCAAATATTAATTTTAAGCTCAAAAATATAATCCAGTATACCTGGATAGAGAACACTTCCAACCTTAAGAAAATAAATTTAAAATACAGAAAAGACTGCATAAAATAGTGATCTCACCAATTTTACCAAAGATACTAAATGATTTCACAAATAAAAGCTTCATATTTATGTTTATATGAACTCTGTCTCTTTCAACTTTTAAATCCTAATATGTTTGAATGATTCACTTTGCCTAGCCTTCTATTTTAACTCAATATATAAGATCAACTAAACTAGCAATAATTGTGTGTACAGTTACAATTCTAAAAATTTTAGAAAATGCAATTTAAATACAGCATGTAAGTACACCTGAATGCCTACACTGTCTGTTTCTACGTGGCAGGAACATTCTAAATTAAGCAAATTCTATAAAGATAATCAACTAAGACTTAATCAAGATGCATGGATATATAAACATTTCCTTGGATACAGCCTTAAGTTAAAAAAAAAAAGATGAATTTTCACTCTATTTTATTAAATTTAACAAAAGGGAAACTTTCATGTAGCAGATATGAAAAGAGAACATACTCAGCCAAAATGAAGAGTAGGAATTAAAACTACTTTATACTCAAAAAACGTAAAATAAATGAGTTTGCAGATTAAAAAGATCCAGTAAATATTAAGCAGAAAAGAAAAAAAAAAAGACATCAGATTTTTCAAGAGCAGAAAAAGGGAGAAGACAACATAGTAAAATTTTCAAATTTTCATGAGAATGTACTTTCCAAGTGAGAATTATATCCCCCAGAAATACATTAGTCAGGTGTAAATAAAGAAGAAAAATATTTCAGAAAAGTGGGTTATAATATGCATACCTTGAAAAGAAGCTATGGTATATTCCTAAATAAAGGCATGAACCAAAAATGAGGAGGAACTAGGTATCAGAAAGATATGCTATATTAGAAATAGAGAGAAAGAAAAGAAAAGAGAAAAGAAAGAAACAGAACACGACCATAAAGCAGAGGAAGGTTTTTCAGGTCACACTAGAGGGTTCCAGGAAAGATACATCAAAAAATGATATAATAAAAGGAAATATTAAAAAATATCAGCTATAAATATTAAGAAGACATTTTCTGTTTCGTTAGTTTTAGAAGGACTTAGTGAGACACATATATACAAAATTAAGCAAATGAAAATCTTGATTCAAACTAATAATTTGAATAAAAATTTAACAGTTGAGTGTTTCTTGACCTGTGTGATGGCTCATATATTCACTTTCTGAAAAATCACATAACTATCCATTTGTGTTCTGAATATTTTCTGTATATGTGTATAAAAAGGTCAATAACAAGTTTTCATAAAACAAAAGCACTCATCTCATTTTCCATTTCTTTCCACTGAAAAGACCTAAAAGCAATTGAAAAATTATAGAAAAAGGATTTATAATCATAATGCTTTATATGACCCAGATGTAAATAACATTTGGGTAGTCATAATAATGTAAACATAGAATACTGACTGCTACCCAACTATATTAAAGGTGAAAATGAGAGAATAAGAAGAATTTAAATCCACATCTTTGTAGTAAAAACTTAATACTGTATATAAAAGTGAAGAAGCAGAAGCCACATAAACCAGTTATTTAGACATAGGGAGCTTAAAAGCAACATACTAGGCTGGGGATTTAGCTTAGCAGCATAAGCAATTGCCTGGCAAGCACGAGGTCATGAGTTCGATCCCCAAGCACCTAAATAAATAAATAAATAAATAAATAAAGCAACAGATAGCTGAGGAGCTGAAAATGACTACTGGAGAGAAGGGAACTGGAAATGCAATACGGAAGAGTAGTTAGGAGGCAGATATATATATTGCCAAGCTTGAAATGATTTGACTTGTATTAATTTGAAAAAATAAAATCAATTTTTCATAAAGCTAATGAAAAGTAATATAAAAATTTAAAACACTTTGGCAACAAATCTATTTTGAAAATCATTAGGATAGTATCAGAAAAAGTACATAAGTAAGGATGTGATAAATAACACTAAGCAAGGAAAAAACAGTAGGGAGCTATTAAAGATAAATCACTAAGCCAACTGACTTTAACATCAAATTTCCTCTCACTAGAAAGACTAGTTTTTATCACAAGTGTATAATAAATCATTTCTGGTAATTTTACTTTCACAAAGCTGCCTGAGAAGTTTATACAATTACTTCCCAATGTTTTTATGTGTCTTTATGTATCTGTACCAGCACAATCATTATATATTTAATAAAATACTAAAAAAAGAGTATGATGGTTATTCCACCTTTATATAATATATAAATTACAGAAAATTTGCATGTCTCATAATAGACAAAGCACTGATCTAGAAACCTGGAATTCTGTACTCTTTTTATGTGCACCACTACTATCATGCTCACCACAGCTCTGTGGAAGACACTGACTGCCCTTTTCTTTTTCTCAGTTTCCCCATAAGAAAAGCATGAGAAAATTAATTATTCTCCAAGGATTTCTTCTGTAATCGAACTAGAAAGTTCACCAGGTATGGAAAAGGTCAGACTCTCCTCTTCGTAGAGTAGAGGAGGAATGCATTTCAAAGACAGATACTTTCAGCTGACTGAGGACTTGTAAAAGAAAGAGGCACGGATCACTTCAAGATTAGAGCATTTTAAGACAGGCGCTCCAGTCTGCTTTCTCCCGGCTGTAGTGAGTACCACATTCAGAAAAGTGGGCTTATTTGTCCAAGTGACCAAGACTGAGACCAGAGTCCCTATAAATTCATGATGGACATGAAATATGAGCAAGAAATATTGTACCTCCAAGCCACCAAGATTCGGGAATTGGTTATTCTAGGGTCATAATCAAGTACATTTTTGGCCGATAAAATGGAATTAGATAGAATTTTTCATAAACTAAGTATTTAAATTTACAAGGAATTACAAGTTAAATTATTTTATAAAGTTAAAAAATCTTAATTATCGTAAAATTTGAATTTTTATATTAAGAACTATGTTAATCATTACAGTTTATATGTAATTTATAAATTAACTTGTTTAATATAGTTTAAAAAGAGGAAAAATATAAAAATGAGAATATCAAACCTGCACATTTAATTGTTGTTTGAGCACTGAAATGCTTCCTGAAAACCACTTTGTTTTCATTGTAATGGAAACCAGGCATAACAGTGAGCAGGCATTCTATTACACACATTTCCTTTATTTAGTTTATTTCCTACTTGCATGAAAATGCTAAGAAATACACTTCTAAAAGACACGCCTGCTATAGGGATCAATAACTATGTTTTATAATCATGTACTTTCCTAAAACCCAACACTGGCAGTAATATCCGTATTATCTTTCTTGTATTCTTCCATGACGAATCTGCCTTTCAGAAAATTTTCAAGTTTAATATCATACTTACTTTTCTTTCACTTAGACCTAAGAAAACTACTAGCTTCAGTTAGTTCTATTCCAAAGGCAGAGAAACTATTCTTTACAAATAAAGTAGAACACAGGGAATAAAAGTGAGGAACAAGCATAATTCTTTTAGAAGTCTCTTGATTGCATAAATTGCTTAAACTTTCTTTTTTACTATTTAATCTAAAAAATCATGACAAAGATTACATGCTATTTAAGTGACATACCTTGAATATTTAAAGAGTTAATAGTCTGTAAGTGCTTTATAAAGAAGAAAACCTTACTTGTGTATGTTTCTAACCAGTATTTAAAATGCTCAGCAATGAAACTACATAGAAAATGTTTCTGAGTACATATTTAATGTGTATGAAAAGCTCTTTCTGTTAAAAAATAGATTTCAAGGTCTTATCACTTGTGATCTGTCTTCTTTCGCAATCACTTAACTGATCTAACTGCTTCTTTCCAGTATTCACCCTACACAATTTGTCTGTAGCATCTGGTAACATTAAAAAGGGCTCCACCGCATAATAATAAGTTAAGTCTCAACTTTTGAATTCCAATTCTACCACAAGTTAACATTTTGGTCAATCTACTTAAACTCAGATCTTAATTTCATTATAAAATACTCTACTCAGTTCCTACAGGAACATACAACACACTTTAAACAATACCCAACTCACATTGAGAGTTCAAGCAAATATACAGTGCCAAGAATGCAAGGTGAGAGCTCAATAAATATGAAAGTGATTAAGGTTGCTGGGAACACTAGAACAAACAAAGCTCCAATGGGGCTTTTATTTTGAAGAAAAAGTAGACAATAAGTTCAGAGAAGTACATTGCACAGTATGTTAAATAGTGAAAAGTACAGAGAAGGGTCAGAAATTTGAGAAGGTAAAAAGAGTTCTACATAGGGTGACCAAAACAGTCTGAGAGGGTGACACATCAGCAAGAAGTGAAGTTGGGAGATGTCACATATTGTGTGGAGAAAATTGCAAATTTCAGTGTCCTGAGGCTGGGCAGGGCCTAGAGTGCATGAGAAACAGCAGGAGCAGTGAAGCTGAAGCACAGAGAGGGAGAGGGCTGGAGGGGTGCGGTTGAAGAGGTGGAGGGGCGGTCATGCAGGACACTGTGGGCCCTGGTTTCTTCCTCTGTGAATAACACCGAAGGGGGCATTTTAGGCACAATAATGACATGATCCATCTCACTTTAACTCTGAATTCTGTGCTAAGAAAAGATCAAGAGGCTGGAGTGTGCAAAAGCGGAAAACAAAGGAAGCACTGAAGAAAGTGCTACAGAGATAAAAGTGGGAAATAATGATCCGACAGACTGATGAGAAGAGGTGGCTGGTCTAAAAGTACCACACAGTGGAGGCTGACGAGATCTGCTGTTAACATGGACCTGAAGTCCTGTTTAGCTTGGATATGATATGAGGGAAAAAAGTAAAAAACAACTGCAACAGTTTTGGTCTGACCCACTGGAAAAATTGGGCAGCCATTTACGGAGACAGAGGATCAAAGGGAGATCACAAGCTCATTTTAGACAGACATTGAAGAGGGAGTGTCAAGCAGACAGGTGTTGTAAGAGCAGTCTAGACGACATATAAATTTGAGCAATGATCTAACCAGTACTATTTAATGCCACAAGATTAATGATGGCACATAATAAAAATTTAAGAGATTGGAAGCATTCCAAAATTCAGAGGTAAGAAAGAAGAGATGATAGGTTGGGTGATAAAGAGCCAAAATGTTAAGAGGAAACTGAGAAAAAACACTTTTCTAATATGTGTTTCAAGAAACAGTGGTATGGTGTTAGGTTAAAATCCAATAGGTTAAAACTATTAAGTCCAAAATATATCTTCTGCCTCCAAAAATATATCCTGAAAAAATAAATATATCCAGCTCATTCTCCTTTATTCCGTCTCCATTTTATCATCCAAGTCTCTCCTGTGAACTATTTTCCCACACTGGTAAATAATTTCTTATACAGCAAACTGAAGCATCTTTTAAAAACAAATCATGCCAAGACCCCATGTACCCTTTGTCTTCTATCATATCTAGAATAAAATCGAAACTCCTGACTTGGCTCACAAGCCAAGAATGATCTGCCTCCTACCTACCTTTCTGATATTACTTTTTGCTATTTTACTTAAACAGGTATTAATTTTGTTTTGAAAACCTATCACTCTCATTTGATTGCCTTGGTTCCCAATCTCCTATACCCGTAATATACTCCCTGGTCTCTTCTGACTGGCTTCTCAATATTTAGGCACCACAACTCAAATATCTCCTTAGAGATCTTTTCTGATTCTTCTTTCAAGACCTAAAATTATCTCATTTAGCTCTTTAATTCTATGTTGTTCTGAAGGACAGGTGTTCCTGAATGCAAACTGGGGCATGTAAAACTTTGCATAGATTAGGCTTCGATAGCTATTTGAAAAAAAGCCAATCCTTTAAACTAAAGGATTATTATCAGAAGACTGGTTTAACTTTTTCTTTAGTGCAGAGATCTTTTCTATAACATGCTTGGCTGGGTCATCATTCAGACCAGCTATAACGTCTCTATTGACAAAAGCTGATCACCTCGTGAAGCATTCATTTCATCTTGGGACAGCTCTTCTGCCTCGGAAAGTCTTCTTTTTATTAAACATTTAAGTAATTTCGACCTACTGTCTTCTGGAGTTCTGTCAAGGAAATCTAATTCCCTTTGTATATACAGATTTTCATTTTCTAAAAGATTATTATATTTATTCCTTTTATCTTTCCAGGGCAAAGATTTTTCATTTCTTTCAGTAATTCTCTATTTGATATGGTTTTTCCATCACATTTTTTCCATTCCAGTTTGGAAATTCCTAATTTATGAATTTGCATCCAAAATCCAAGTAACTGCTGAAAGGATTTCTGTAAACATATCAAACACCAAGGCCCATGGCATAAAAGCTTAACATTAGAAATAATTTTCTTTGGTTGATACTAATATACTAATATTGTATATGGTTGAATGAGCTACTAATACTCCATTACAGCTCCTTGTCTTCGAAACTATTATGAAAGATATTATGAAAGACACAAAATGCCTTTCTAAACCAAAAGGCTCTGTGAAAATAATTCTCTTCGAAAATTAATCCTTAATGTTGGTATTATGGTCAAAAGAACCCCTTAATTAGAAAAATTATCTCCAGAGGCAGGAGGACCACAAGTTCCAGTACCAGTTGGCTAACTTAATGAGACCTTGCCTGAAAATAAAATAGAAGGAAGGGGCGGGGAATGCAGTTCATTGGTAGAATACCCCTGTGTTCCATTCCGAATACTGAAGAAAAAATAAAAAAGAAAATTATGTTACAGATGCCATCATGACACCAAGAACTGATTTTGCAGAAATTATTTCTCCATCATTACTTTTTCAGCTACTGCACTTAAATGAGTCATAGCAATATTAAATAAATTTATAAATTATTTTACATTATTTTCTTCATTTCAATGTTCATTATGAGGAAATTCATAAGGTAAAGTTCTTTTTAGAATACTCGGTAATTTTTACTGGGAAATACCTACATCAAACTAACTGGTACTGAGGAAAACCGCCAACATTCTCTTAGCTCATGTGGTAATTTTTGCTTCTTAGGAAAGGGAAGATGAAAGACCGACTTCAAGAACTAAAGCAGAGAACAAAGGAAATTGAACTCTCTAGAGACAGTCAAGTGCTGGCTACGGAAGCAGAGGATCAAGGGGTGTTTGAGCAACAAGCTGTTATTTATGAAAGAGAGCCTGTGGCCAACAGACATCTACAGGAGATCCAAAAACTACAAGAGACTATTAACAACTTCACAGAAGATGTTCAAAAATTTGGACAGCATCAAAAAAGTCTGGTGGCTTCAATGAGAAGGTTTAGTCTACTTAAGAGAGAGTCTAGCACTACAAAAGAGATAAAAACTCAGGCAGAACACATTAACAGAAGTTTGGGTGAGTTAGTTAAAGAAGTTAAAAAGTCAGAGGCTGAAAATGGACCATCGTCAGTGGTCACTAGGATACTTAGATCTCAGCATGCTGCAATGGTCCATCATTTTCAGCAAACCATGTTTATGTACAATGACACAATAGCGGCAAAGCAAGACAAATGCAAGACATTTATTTTCCGCCAGCTTGAAGTTGCGGGAAAACAGGTGCCTGAAGAAGAAGTACATGAGATGCTTCATCAAGGAAAATGGGAAGTTTTCAGTGAAAGCTTACTTACAGAAATCACTATCACAAAAGCACAGCTCTCAGAAATAGAACAGAGACATAAAGAACTTGTTAACTTGGAGAACCAAATAAAGGACTTAAGGGATCTTTTTATTCAGATATCTCTTTTAGTAGAGGAACAAGGACAGAGCATCAATAATATAGAAATGATAGTGAACGGTACAAAAGATTATGTTAATAATACTAAAGAGAAATTTGGACTAGCTGTAAAATACAAAAGAAGAAACCCATGCAGGACACTGTGTTGTTGGTGTTGCCCATGCTGTAGCTCAAAATAAAGTTACTTTAGAAACATGTCCAGTAAAAGATTTCCCACATTTCAGTGTTTTATACTGTTTCTTCATTTTATGGGCATTGATTAACACAAATTTTATCAGGTAAGTCATAAATTTCTCCTTTAATCATTGAAATCTCTGAAATCAGGGAGACATTAGACAAATCTGTATTTAATTAAAGTAAAAACAAATATCTTCAAATTATGGGCTGTTAAAAATGAGATATATGATACTGAGTTTCTGATCAGGTATTAAATTCTATTACACATTTTTTAAAACTTCGAGTGCTTTAATAGGATGAAGGTACAATTAAGTGATGACTACTTATGGAATCCATTTCATTCACTTGAAAATATTTTGATAGATGAGAATTATATAAAACAAAACCTCTAAGGGTGCCACAATAAAGCAGAACAAAACTAGAATGCACATGAAGTCTTTCATCCTTAGTTAGGTAAGTTAACTCAGTGGTTAACAGATTCTGGACAATCTCAACTATGTACTTGAGAATTTAATTGATAACTTGTAGCTGAAATAAGTTGAAGGCCTAAGAATCAACTAATGCATTGTTTTTCTTGAACTTGGAACCATTCAGGACATGGTAATAGATCAATGGACTTGGCAGATAAAAATTAACTTTTTTATGTTTTTATATCACCTCATAATTTCAGGCACTATAGTATGGGCCAGAGATACAGCTGAATTCATATTCTAGTAGAGAAGGCACACAGTGAAGTAATGCAAGCCAAGCGTGGTGGTACATGCTTGTAACTGGGAGGCTGAGACAAGAGGACCACCACAAGTTTGAGGCTAGCGTGAGTTCCATAGTGAATTCAAGGCCAGCCTGAATTATATAGCAAGACGTCTCAAAAATAAATAAATAAAGTGTGAATATAAATTGATGTTAAATAGAAGCAGAAACTTAAAATAATGGTGATGGGATGACACAGAGGCTGCCAGGATGGCTTCATTACAGTGAGAGTCAGGGAAGGTCTATCTCAAAGATAGTATTTAAGTAAAAATCTGCAATGAATACAAATGAGGGTATATTCCAGGCATAAGAATCAAACAGTACAGACTTACTTCACTATAGAAAAATGACAGATAGCTGAGGCATAACTGGTAAAAAACAATGAGGTAGGAGATGAGGTTATGAAAATGGCAGAAAGTTTCATAAGATGCGGGAAAAAGCCTGACGTTCACAGCAAGTATAATAATCAGTGCAAAGCTCTCAAACTGATTCAGGTCTGCGAGTTAATGTGATATCATTTGTATCTGAGAAAGATCATTCTGTCTAGTATGAAGTGGGTTAGAATGGATTTGGAGGAAGACATACATATAGGCAAAGAAAATAATCAGAAGGGTAATGTACTAGTCCCAGGAAGACGCCTCTTCCTAAGGGTTAAATTAGGATGATAGTAGAGAAGGTGATTTCAGGTCACAGGAAAATGCCAAAACCATTTCTTAACTGCTATGTACTATATAGTAGTGTTAGAAAAAATTAAACTAACTTGTGATTAAGAGATAAAATCTATAAGATGTTATTGGATGATGTGCTGTTAGAGAAGAAAAGACAGAACTGGCAGTAAGAAGGAAATTCTATTTTAGTCAAGAAAATCAGAAACAACAATATCTAAGAGCAAATGTCTAGGTGGGAGTTTCTCTGATTTTCACTATTTCAGTAGGAATGCTTGGAATAAGTCAGGACTGGAAGTATAAATTTGGGTCATTTAAATAAATCAAGGGTATCGAAGGTAAAGTAACTAGGATGAAGTCACCTAAAAAAGTATGTGGATGTAAAATATTTGAAGTCTGGCTGGGCATGGTGGTGCACAGCTGTAACCCCAGCACTTTGGAGGGTGAGGCAAGAGGGCCGCTGACTTCTAGGCTAACCTGGACTATAAATGAGTTCAAGACCAGCCTAGAATATTGACTGTCTTAAAAAACAAATCAACAATAAAAGAAAGCAAAAAAACTTGAAATCAGGGCCAGGGGTTTAGCTCAGTGGCATTAAGTGCCTGCTTGGCCTACGCAAGGTCCTGAGTTCAATCCCCAGCACCAAAAAAACCTAAAAACAAACAAACCAAAAAAAAAAAAAAACCACTTGAAGTCATAAAGGTACTGGGCTATTATAAATTTGATAAAGGCAATCTAAATGGAATTGTCAATAAGACAGAAGAAAAACCAAGGAAGAATGCCAAAATACCGAAGAATATTCTAAAGAAGAAAAAACACTGAGGAAAGAATTATCTTTAGGTAAAAAATGAGCAGCAGAGTAATAAGTTTGGCAGCATGAATACAATTTTTGACTTAAAACCATTTTCACAGAACTGTAGGGACGAAAGCACACCTGCAGAATGTTGAGGAAAGAACATGACATGAAGTACAAGTAATGACAACCTTTCCAAGAAGTTTAAAGGAGGCATAAAGAGTCAAGATCTGGTGAGAGAGATGGAGCAAAACGATTACTTAATGCTTAAAGACACATGAGAGCAGATTCTGCTGGTGGTAGTGATTCAGGGAGAATCTTATATAAGAAAAGGAGATAATATACAAAAGCACAGAGTTGGGATCTGCAGTGCAAATGGAGAAGCTGGTATCAGGTAGGGGTGTGAATGCCTTCTGCACATTACAAGCAGGAAAGGCAAAGTGTAGGAGTAAAATCAGGTAGGTGAGTAAATGTGGTGGCATAAAAAATGAAAGAATGTTTCTGTAATAGTTTCTATTTCCTTAAAGTAGGAAGGTGTCCTCACAACTTTTAATGTGAAGTCAGTCTGGGCGTCATCTGGCTGCTTGAGTGCTGGCACAGGTGTAATTGAGGTGGTGAGTCTTCATACCTTGGAGAAAATGGGATAAGGGGAGATAGGGTGCCTGAAAAGGAATGAGTTTGCGTACGTTACATGAATGGATGTGACTGTGTGTATGTGCACTATAATATAATGTTGACTTATAATGTTAACTGTCAGAGTAGCAAGTACACTGTTTTCTTTGTATTTTATAAGTCACATCCATTCATGTAACGTACGCAAACTCATTCCTTTTCAGGCACCCTATCTCCCCTTATCCCATTTTCTCCAAGGTATGAAGACTCACCACCTCAATTACACCTGTGCCAGCACTCAGAAGAGCCTCTGATCATCACTGTCAAGCAGGTTTTTCTTTTTTGTTGTTTTGTTTTGTTTTTGTTTTGTTATGAAACAGAAAGTGGTAAGGAGTTAATGAGGGAGACAGGGATGGGGACACTTCAAATTTTCAATGCTTAAGTTTGTTGACCTACAAAAGTCAACCATATGAAATGCTCTACTATAAACAGCTGCTACAAGTGGAGCAGAACGTTCTACTGTAAAAGATCAAAGGAAGGGTTTGGTGAGAAAGGGAGTGAGTCAACATTTTAAGTAAATGAGATTAAGCAAGAGGACAGCTTGTAAGGTGGCAATGAAAGAAGACAAATCTTAAGTTAATGGTTCCTATAAAGTCAGTGAGTATGTTTTCAAAAATGAAATAGTAAATCAAGAAATTGAAAACTGTAAGAATCAACTGGTTATGTAACACAGGTAGACACCTACAAGCCTCCAGCAGTCTAAAAAGGTCTAACTTAATAAAGGTACATTTGACTCAGTTTCTAATGATAGTATTAGAATAATGTATACACTATTTAATTTTCCTTGGGGACTTACATTAATGAGTATAATAAAAAACTTAAATACTGACATTTTCTATTGTACTGTCTAGAAATAAGGTGAGTCAATCCACATATAAAGGTTGGAGAAAAAATTTCATACTGAAAAAGTAATAATAAAAGTCTGGTTAGTGTCTCTCGTCTAATAGAAACTCACTTTCATTTGGTATAAATTACTTTTGGAATTTGAAATTAGCATACTAAGAATCTTCCAAAGAAAAATGCACCTACATTCAGAATTGTGTATGATTTCAGAAAATACAAGGGCCACTCATGGTAAAAGACTTCAAGTCACAGAACTCTTTTATATTAAAATGTTCGTAACTACTAGTAAAATCAAATCAAAGATACTATATTTTCTTGAGTGAAAATCAACCCCCACTTCTCACTCATTTTTCTGCTGTAAGTATCTAAGATTTGGTCAAAAGTTAAACTACAATGTTTAGCTCCACAATAAAACAAACCACATGTAATGGCAAAATCGAACTGTATACAGGAAAAATTGTTAGTGGTCTTCAGAGTTATTCTGATTAACAGTATTGGGAACTTCAACTCATTTAAAATAAGAAAAGAAAAATAAAAAGGCGTGTTGGAGGGTAATTCATCATGTGAGACAACTTTCAAGACTGTATGAGAGAAGTGACAGAAAGAACAAGTGGCTTCTGACAGCCTTGGCGTCACCTTGGGCAGCTGAACATTTCAATAGGTTAAGGTATTTAATATAGAACTCAGTTTAACTCAGTTAATTAAAAAATAGTACTTTGTATTTTTAATGGAAAATTGAATGCTAATCATAAAACGTGGGATTACTGTTGACTTCAGTGCTATCTAGTTAGAAGTCCTACTTTCTTTCACTTACAAATGGTTAAAACAAGATTATGTGGGTAAAGGCAGGTATGGGTAGATAACTGCTATGCTTGAATGACCTCCTCCAAAGCTAAATGTGGTCAAGGGTTAGTTAGTCTTCAGCCTACAATTACAGGCAGTTGGTGGAACCTCTAAGAGGTGGGGCCTCCTAGTAGGTCTTCAGGTCATTCTCAATTTGGCTGCCTTTAGTCCTTGCCCCATTCTTAATGGAACAGGGTTGAGTCTAAATGTGATGAACTACTCCACTGCTCCCCCTGGTGGAGGAGATTTTAAGGCTGCAACGCATTCATGTACCAAGCCTTCAAGTTGCTTCTGCTCAAATTTACTGTGAGAATTTGGAATAAAAAGGAACAAAACGCCTCTCTGCTAAGCCACACAAGTTGAAAAGGTTCCAGGGAGAGAAAAGTCAGCATCTCCAGAGAATTGGCCATGCTGGGATTTGGGGGACCATCCAAGAAATCAACTAGCCAGCCTTTCTGGTGCAAGGCGAGCAGGC